GCTGGGCGTGGTGGCAGGCACCTGTAATCCCAGCTACTCAGGAGGCTGAGGTAGGAGAATCATTTGAACCCGGGAGGCGGAGGTTGCAGTGAGCCAAGATCACGCCACTGCACTCCAGCCTAGGCGACAAAGCGAGACCGTCTCAAAAATACACATACACACACAAAAATTAGCCAGGTGTGGTGGCACACACTTGTAATCACAGTTATTTGGGAGGCTTAGATGGGAGAATAGCTTGAACCCAGGAAGCAGAGGTTGCAGTGAGCCGAGATCACGCCATTGCACTCCAGCCTGGGTAACAGAGCGAGACTGTCTTTAAAAAAAAAAAAAAAAAAAATTAATTATGTAAGCTCATGGTTAAAAATATTAGCATTATGGAATATAAAATTAAATGTCTCTTATAATCCCAGCACTTTGGGAGGCCGAGGCAGTGGATCACCTAATGTCAGAAGTTTGAGACCAGCCTGGCCAACATGCTGAAACCCTGTCCCTACTAAAAATACAAAAAAATTAGCCAGGCGTAGTGGCGGGTGCCTGTTATCCCAGCTACGTGGGAGGCTGAGGCAGGAGAATCACTTGAACCTGGGAGGCAGAGGTCGCAGTGAACTGAGATCGCACCACTGCACTCCAGCCTGGGTGACTGAACAAGAATCCACTTCAAACAAACAAACAAAAGTCTCTAAAATAATTCCCATTTTCCAGGTCCATCAGACACTACAGATAGGGAAGGAAAACTTAATTCCATTGGACACCCACAGATATATCTTGATCATCTTATAAACACTTAAAATATATTCAAATCTTTTGTGCATATTTTCATCATATTGTAGAAAAGTTCTCTCCAAGAGACAGGTGTATGGGGGTGCTGTTTTCTTTCTCAGAATGTAAAAGGGATTTATGAAAAAACTGTTCATGCTCAGAATATTCTGGGTTTCTACTAAATCCATTTTCCAATCACAAGGCATTCCATATCAAAGCCTGCACTCTTTCTGCTCCTTATGAGAATTCCTACCTAAATCAGCCATCTTTGGTTTAGCTCCAAAATGTATCAACTCACCTTCATCTTCACTGAAATTTTCCAGAGGGAGCAGAGCAATAGCCTCTAGCCAGGGCCCCTCAGAAGCCCTGGCTGTAGGTTTCCCATCACTGCTTCTGAAGGGAAACCATGTGCTAGACAGGAAGTCACTTTATTGTCCGTGAGACTTGGGAGAGGCCTTCCAGAGATCCGGCCAGACTCAGGCCACTATCTTCTTCCCCAACCTCTCCCTGTAGTAGCGGGTGGGAGTGCCAACGTAAACAAGGGCCCTCATGTGGGCTGAGACGGGAACAATAGGACAGAAGGTAGGACAAGGCAGCAACTGGGTGGACTTGGTGGCTGCAAACAGGGTTCTACACGCTGTCCTCCTCCTGCATAAGCCAAAGGGTACCGGCACTGAACGCTAGGCTGGGCAGGCCGAGGTAAGAATGGGAGTGCACGTAGCCTTGGTGGGGCAGCCTCTAAAGAGCGTTCCTGGAGAACTAAACTGCCATCAGTGAAGGAACTGGTCCCAGGAGGCTGGCAGGGCCTGTGGTGGGGGAAGGTCCTCTGGGCACACCTAGAATTGAGGGTCCTCCCACTTCCCACTGAAACAATTCCCTGCTGCTCAATCTCACTGCCATATGCAAAAACAAGCAAGCAAACAGGAAAACTTAAAAGTGGGTTGATCGAATGCTTGAGTTTATTAACATGTCTCCGAAGTCTTTTTTACTGGGAGTTTCAGGGTGGTCTCTGAAATCCATTGCTGTTGAGCTCCAACTCCAGGCCCCATGGGGTTGCACCAAGCTGCTCAACCTCACCTGTTTCTTGAAATTTTGCTCCCTTCCACTAGGCAGAAGATGGGTCCAGCAGGAGACATTGGAGCACCAAATGGAAAAGCTCTTCCTTCTTTCCCCTCTTCCTGCACATCAGAAAGAATGCATTAGAAAGACAAGGAGTGTGCATTTGGGTTTTCTAAGGGTGAGACAGTGTGGGGCTCCTGTAGGGAGGTGGGTACTCCTGCGCCCAGTGTGGCCTCCTGCTCCCACCACTATTCAGCTGTGGGGTTTTTCCTTGGGGGAAATTACTTTCCAAATTTGATTTTTCCACCTGTAAAAGGAGGCAAGTAAGGGTTGGTATGAGGATCAAATGAATTAACAACTATCAGACTGACACAAACATTCCACTTAAACAGCCAAATTGACTTAAAAGGGCAACATAGATGTCTGAAGTTAGAGTGCCTGGTGGGTAAGCTGGAGAAAGGAACTTCTATGCAAGAACTGTGTCCTTTCAGAAGCTCCAGCCAGAACGCACATGGTTCGAGAGAGCCCTGAAGACAGGCATTGCCCCACACACACACAGAACAAATTCTTCTCCACCCTCTCCCAAAACAAAACAAGAACAGTGAAGAGCCACAGACTGATGACCAGTACAACGGATACAGTATTGCTGAGCCCTTCCATGTGCCAGGGGCTGGGCAAAGAATTTCATATTAACTTATTTCTCACTTCAATTCTGTGAGACATGCACTCTTCCCCCACTGACAGATTCGGGGGAGGAGAGGAACTTTGCCAAAGAACACACAATTGCACATGGTGGAGCTGGAGTTTGAGACCAAGTGGACCACTAAGCTACCTGCCAAATTCAGTTGCAGAAACCCCAAAGCAGGTATAGAACACAGTTTCCAATAAACAAGAGCTCATATCGGCACTTCCTAGTGATAGAAGCTAACTGTCCAAGAGCACGACTGTCTTGGGACAGGAGGTCATGCTGCAGAGCCCAGGGCGGTCCGCCCTGCACAGAGAGGGAGTGCAGACCTAAGGAGAGGCACACTCTGTGAAAAGAGGAAAAACCTACAGATTGATTCCACCTGTTCAGAGCAACAGGCACAGCTTCACTTGGGACCACATGTGCCCATGGGCTCCACAGGGCTGGGTCCTGGCTCTGTGGCCATCTCTACACAGCCTCTGCTGGGCTACTCTGTGAGAGGTCACACTGGCTGGCAGCAGGATCTCAGCCTCTGCTCCTTTCCCTAGTACAGTTTGATCTCTGAGTTCACTTTGATCTTTTTTTTTTTTTTGAGACGGAGTCTTGCTCTGTCGCCCAGGCTGGAGTGCAGTGGCCGGATCTCAGCTCACTGCAAGCTCCGCCTCCCGGGTTTATGCCATTCTCCTGCCTCAGCCTCCCGAGTAGCTGGGACTACAGGCGCCCGCCACCTCGCCCGGCTAGTTTTTTGTATTTTTTTTAGTAGAGACGAGGTTTCACCGTGTTAACCAGGATGGTCTTGATCTTCTGACCTCGTGACCCGCCCGTCTCGGCCTCCCAAAGTGCTGGGATTACAGGCTTGAGCCACCGCGCCCAGCCGCCCACTTTGATCTTTTACCAGTTCGGCTTCACCTCTTGCACCAAGGCTGTGATTTCTCAGGGCAAGTTGTCAGTTTTCCCGTATGCAGTGTTTTTCTAGGTGGATTGTTTCTGATGTGGTTTCCTCTGATGCAGGTGAGGGAAGTATCACCTTGACTCCTCCCCCAATACAATTATTCTCACAGGGCTCTGCTAAACATGAGACTTGGGAGGGACCCAAGAGCTTGCTTGGCTGCAGATTCAAGGGTCCAGAACTCAGAAGAAAGTGGTCCGAGGTGTCTAGAAACAGGCACAGATGCTTCCAGAATGCACTTAATACCAAGTTCTCTGAGCAGTAGCTACTCCCTGCCAAGTAACCCTCCTTGAGAAACACTGATCAACCTTGCTTTATTCCAGAAAGAATTTAAGACTGCCTACAGAAAACACGAGGGAGCATAGTTAAAATGTGTGAAGTCCTCCTCCAAAACACGTACTAGCCACTAATATCAATATTAAGGATTTTGGCCAGGCACGGGGGTTCACGCCTGTAATCCCAGCACTTTGGGAGGCCGAGGCAGGTGTTTAAGACCAGCCTAATATGGTGAAACCCCATCTCTACCAAAAATACAAAAATTAGCTGGGCATGGTGGCACATGCCTGTAATGCCAGCTACTTGGGAGGCTGAGGCAGGAGAATCACTGGAACCCAGGAGGCAGAGGTTGCAGTGAGCCAAGATCGCGCCATTGCACTCCAGCCTGGGCAATACAAACAAACAAACAAATAATAAGGATTCTTCAGATATCCAAGTCCAGGTCCTCATATCCACTGTGTCCAACTCAACTTCTCCTTATTACTGTGCAGACCGAGGCAGTCCAGCCCTAAAAATCCCCTCCTCTCAAGCTCCTAGACGGGACTCTAGTGAGGGGAGAACTGCTGCCCTGGTAATTCCTATTGTGGGGACAAAGGAACATGGGACTATGGGCAATAAGTTACTTATCAGTCTTCACTGGAGGTTGTTTCTCTCAACTAAAATTATCAAAATTGGGTGTTACAATTTTTAACTTGATATTCCCAGACAAGTGCCAGGAGAGAAGCTGTTGCAAATAGCTGGCTGAGTGGAGAGGAGAGAGCCTCAGCAGAGAGGCAAGCTGGAGGGAGGGATGGATACTATCCTTCTCTGAACTGAAGCAGTCACAGGATGGCTGCACACAGCACTCCCGGCATGCAGAAGGGGGCGTGGGGACTCAGACACTCTGAGATGCATGGGTTTGGGGTACCCACTCGAGGCCTCATGTCCACTGTGTCCAACTCAATTTCCTCCTTATTACTGTGGAGACTAAGGCAGCTCGATCCTAATAGTCCCCTCCTCCCGGCTCCTATTCACCACTCCAGCGAGGGAAAACAACTGTTGCTCTGGTTGCTTCTCTCAGTGGAAGGAGGGGACAGGGACTATGGGAAACCAACTATCTAGAGCACAGGCCTCCAAGTCCAGTGGAGGGTACAGTTAAGCAAATCCTTACAGTAGTAATAGCTGGTCAGCAATTTTCCAGGTTATCGTTTGAATACAGGTGTCAACCCATGAATGTATGTATGAACTGGTACATTTCCACTTTATGAAACACGATATGAAATTAAAAAATACTCAGGGAAACATAAAGCATTTGTTTATTATTGCTATACTCAAGGCAGTATCTCTTAAAACAATTAGCCTTGATAATGGAAGTATAACCAGAACCATTATTCATGAATTTACAGTTTGTTCTTTTCTGCTGTTGAGACTTCACTGTTTCACACACACCATCTACCCCAAGAACTTTATTATACAAGAACAAGAAGAATTAACTTGAAAGTCACAAAGCATGGCTTGACAGCTTGCCTAGTTCCTGACTTTAGGCCAATCACGTCCCCTCTCTGAACCTGTTTCATCCTGTGTTAAAAAAGAAATGGGAGAGGAAGAGGAGAGGATAGAATAAACCTACAACTGAGATAACACAGGTGATAACTGAAAGAATATGAATGAAATTTCACTGTGAATAAAAAATATTATACACAATATCACTAATAACAAATAGGGCTGGGGAGGTAAAACAGTCTATGTTCCTGGAAGCCTGCATGACAGCAGCTGAGAACTAAATCCTGGGGCAGGACAAAGGATATTCATGGCCAAGTCTCTAAACTCACTAATGAAGTACCTGGCTCAACAAGTCACTTAATATGTACCCAGCTACACCCTAGAAACATTTTGTCAGTTTTATTTTACCTTAATATACATTTGTACAGGCAGTAATAAAAAGGCTATTACACAACAATTCAGTGAGTTTTACCTAGTTTCAAGAATAATGCATGCAGTTACAAATGAGAGGTAGAAACACTGTATTAAAGACCTAAAAATACAAACGTCATATAAATAAATGTTCAAATTAACTCCTGGAATTTCATACAGATAAATAAGGTAAAAATTACATTACTTTGTCAAAGTAAAGGAAAACCCATGTTTGTTTTTATCAGTACATTAAAATGAGATTAATGCCAAAGAGCTCTGTGCAATTTGTCAAAGAGTTCAGATTATTTTATGTAAAAGGATTAAAATAAAAGGATTAAAATTGGTGAATGGTTTATTCAAGTATTCAAGCAGGTAAGTAAAAGAAACCAAATAATATACAACGTAGGAACCATTCCTGGAGGGATATTAAGTTAACTGCCTGCATTCTCCATGACTAGCTATTTGGTGAACTGTCAGGATTAACATGAAAAATACACATTAGGCAGAAAAGAGCTGCCCATTTTCCTAAGAGAAAACAAACTTCATTTTCCACTCACTTCATGTAGGAACTCCACATCACTAACAAGCCTTTAGGTCACCAACTTTGTTTTGGCCCTATTCAAATTCTCAAGAGTATCTCTTGATCCATGATTTTTTTTCCTAATACTGCCCAAATAAACCTAGCCTTTAGTAAACCTAAGGTCACAGGCATCAATGTACATTTTGCATGCACAATAAAAAATGGAACCAAAAGCTAACAAAAACATTACTGAGAAAATCTGTAGGTGTAGATGAAGAAAAAAAAAAATTGCAAAGGTTCACATGAATACAAGTTTTAACCACTTAAAAGTTCACTGGAGATTACATGTGAATTCTGGGAAGGGTATATGTATACAATCAAGTAAAATATTTTAAACAAGTCCATTGTGCCTCGGTTAAATTACAAAATCCAATACACAGTTGTTTTAATAAATTAGTGCAATATGAAAGATTTTGGAAGATTAACATGTGTCCATATTAGGATCAAATTGAAGATTTCAAAATTTCTTCCAAGATCCATGTTTCACTTCTTCTTAAGCTATTTCTTCCTGAGCTGTTTAAATATACATGCTCAGATTTAAACAAACTTACTCCAAATATCAAACTGCCTGGATGAGGGGTGAATACTTTTACCTTTATACCTCAGCAAACACACGGAATTTCACACACTGCTCTGATGAACCAAGTGATGAGCACTCACTTTGTTACATTTTTAATTATCTTTAAGAATAACTGTACCGGTTATCCTAGTTCTAAGGTACATTTATTCACCAAGTCCAAACTGGGAGCCAAACACTCTTGCTCCTGCTTCTACAAAGAAAAAGGGAAAGGGTGACTTTCTCCAATAAGGCAGATTTCCTACAAATATGTAGTTTTTGGATTGTTTTTCCCTTTTGAAATCACTGCTTGTTCTTTGGTAGTCACCAGTTAAGAAGCTACAGTTTCCTGGGGATGGGGTGACAGAACTCAAGCTGTAATCCCAAAGGCATCACCTCAGGTTCCCACCACCGGTCCATGGGATGAGCCTGCTGCTCACACGGTTGCGGTGCTATGGCAGAGCGCCGACAGTCTTCTCTCAATACTACATTTATCTAGAAATAAAATAACAAAAATGAAGAACTAATGAAAAAAATCACTAATTATATTGTCATCTCTATTCTATCTTTGCCCCAAAGTTAACAGTTCTGAACATGTTTTCTTATTTCTACTTGGTAATAGTTTAGATACGACTTCTAGCTTAGTGCTGCAAAGTGGTAAAATTTAGGTAAGCACGTCGGCTAGCTTGCTACATAACTAGCTTGCTCAAAACTGCAAATAGTCTTAGAACTGCCATCCTCTTGTGGCTACTCAAAATGTAGTGTGACCACATACACTCCAAACAGTCCACCACCTCTGCCTAAAAAACCAGATTACTGGGCTTGTGTGTCATAAGTAATAACATCCTGGTATCCCATCAATCTCCACTCTGCTAACTATACCAAGTCTGCAGTACACAGAAGTTTCACAGGACTCTTCAGTCACTAAGCCCATGAGGCTTAAAATAGTTGCATTTAATAATAAAAATAAAGTCCTCCTACATATACGAACACTTGCCAACAAAGTAACACAGTGTAGAAATCTAAAGATGAATTACACAGTCACCAGTGCTTTTCATGCATCACCTATAATCCTCACAACAACCCTGCAAGGCAGGTACTGCTGTATCTATCTATGTATCTATCTAGCTATGTATTTATTTATCTATATATCTATATATGTATCTATGTATCTACCTACCTACCTACCTACCTACCTACCTACCTACCTACCTACCTAGGATGCAGTCTTGCTCTGTCACCCAGGCTGGAGTGCAGAAGCGCGATCTCAGCTCACCGCACCTCTGCCTCCTGGGTTCAAGTGATTCTCCTGCCTCAGCCTCTCAAGTAGTGGGGCTTACAGGTATGGGCCATGATGCCCAGCTAATTTTTGTATTTTTAGTAGAGACAGGGTTTCGCCACGTTGGCTAAGCTGGTCTCAAACTCCTGAACTCAAGTGATCCGCCCACCTTGGCCTCCCAAAGTGCTGGGATTACAGGTGTGAGCCACTGTGCCTGGCCCTACTCCCATTTTATGAAAAAGAAGCTGAGGCCGCGCAAAGGCTCAGTGATTTGCTCAAGGCTGGAAAGACACGATTCAAACCCAGGCAGGATTCCAAACTCCAAGCTCTTTGTACTATGCCTGTGGTAGACAAAATGAAGTCAGTAAATACACTACTTTGTAAGTCAACTTACATTTATGTACATTTTCAATATCTGCAGGGTCCTGTAGAATCTTAGTTAGGCCTTCCAAAAGAAGGGCTGCCTTATGATAGCGATAAACAATATCTTCGGTCTGCTGAAACATCTCATCAAGGGCTGCAGACTGAACCTGGAACCAGTCAACAAAAACACAATTCTCTCAATTTTTCCAAGAAAATACAAATGCATTTGGGCAATGAAGCTTTAAATGGAATCCACCTAAAATTAACACATTTTGGTAAAGTGATATAATCTGCAAAACTGCATAAAATTCAAAGATTCTTTGGGATGAGCAATACATAAGAGCAACTTCATAAAAAGTCATTCTGCTTTCAAACACAGCCTTCTGGTATTCAGAGGTATGCCTCATAGATTTCTTACTAGAACCCTTCTAAACTGGCTCTTTTATGACTTCACTATAAATTGATTTTAAACACACACTTCCACACAAGGGTAACCTGAAATTTCATTAAAGTAGATTCTGTTTCAATCATACAATTAAATGATGCTAACAGTCACTTACTGGCTTTATTGGCTTCTTTTTCTAGCCAAATAATTTTTGGGTGTTGTCATTCATTCATTCAAATATACTTATTAAGCACCTACTAAGTGCCAGGCACTGTGCCTACAACGAAGGAGAGCTCGCAGTCTGGAGGGAGATACAGTCCTGCAAAAAATGCAATTCTAATTCCAAGGGACACATGGTATTACAGGAGGAAGCACTGGATGGTACCGAATACAAAGGGGATGCCTCTAACCTATATTATGGAAGAAGATGATTAGGGGAAGCTTCCAGGAGGTGCTGTTTGTGCTGAATCATAAAGCAACAGCAGAAGTGAATTAGGTGAGGAAAATATGGGAAGGGGCTCTCCAGAAAGAGGGGATGGTAGCATTATTCACAGGGGTTTCCCCATCGACATTCTGATTTTCTCTTTGATCATTAAATACCAAAACTCTCAGTAATCTAGTATCCAAATTTACTTGTTAATACGCTATATCTTTGTTTTTAATTTTAAAAATATATTAATGTCTTCTTATACAGATGGGGTCTTGCTCTGTTGCCTAGACTGATCTCGAACTCCTGGGCTCAAGCAATCCTCTCGTCTCAGCCTCCTGAGTAGCTGGTACTACAGGTGCTTGCCACTGTACCTACCTATTCTCTCTCCTTCAAAAAAATAATTTCAAGTAGCTAATAACAAGCAAATAAAATGGATACAGAAAATCAGAGCCAAGACAAGTAAAAAGAAAAAAATAACTTAAGTGTTAATGCCTCTAAGCTCACTAAGCAGCCAGGAGGAAAGGAGGAATTTATTAAGTTATAGATCTCTTTATTCCGAGAAAGAAAAACAGCATAATAATACTTTATGGAGAACATTTTTCTGGTGCAAAATTCTAAAAATAATTTATCATATAAGGTCTCAATTTAGCATACAGTGATGCAGTGCATATTATTCACCTCAACAGTTTACAGCAATATGATATACACTATTTTTGTCAAGAATTTATATTCCAAAGTTATTTTCCTATGGTTATTTTAATAAATTTCAAAATAAGGCCATGGAATATAACAGCACAGTTCAAAGTAGACAAATGGAAAATGGAAAGGGGGATCTATTATGTTAATGTGTAGAAATACAATTAGCATGCCGAGCATGGTGGCTCATGCCTATAATCCCAACACTTTGGGAGGTCAAGGTGGGTGAATCATTTGAGGTGAATCATTTGAGGTCAAGAGTTCAAGACCAGCCTGGCCAACATGGTAAAATCCCATCTCTACTAAAAATACAAAAATTAGATGGGCATGGTGGCAGGTGCCTACAATCCCAGCTACATGGGAAGCTGGGGCAGCAGAATCGCTTGAACCTGGGAAGCAGAGGTTGCAGTGAGCCAAGATCATGCTGCTGCACTTCAGCCTGGATGACAGAACAAAATTCCATCTCAAAAAAAAAAAAAAAAAAAAAAATATGATTGGCTAACGAATGAATTTTCCCCCACTTAACTACTTTTTCAACAGCCTCTATTTTTATTTTTACTTCAGAGCAATTTTTCCCCAAGAGAGGCAGAAAACAAATTATTTCCAATATTATAACCAGAAAATTGGAAAAGGAGGTTTTACTTTGTGTCTACACTACAATAATTATCAGTAAGTGGGACCTGAGCACATAAATTTGTGTGGATTGATTAATAAAGCAGTGTTTTTTCTTTCTTTTTTTTTTTTTTTGAGACGGAGTCTGGCTCTGTCGCCCAGGCTGGAGCGCAGTGGCCGGATCTCAGCTCACTGCAAGCTCCGCCTCCCGGGTTCACGCCATTCTCCTGCCTCAGCCTCCCGAGTAGCTGGGACTACAGGCGCCCACCACCTCGGCTAGTTTTTTTTTTGTATTTTTTTTAGTAGAGAAGGGGTTTCACTGTGTTAGCCAGGATGGTCTCGATCTCCTGACCTCATGATCTGCCCGTCTCGGCCTCCCAAAGTGCTGGGATTACAGGCTTGAGCCACCGCGCCCGGCCAGCAGTGTTTTTTCTAAGAGTTTTATCAAGCCTAACTTTCTTAAACAACAGAAAATGCAGGAACAGATCCTGCTAATGCTTTTAGATGCACACTATAAAAAGATTAGATCGGCTGGGCACAGTGGTTCATGCCTGTAATCCCAGTACTTTGGGAGGCTGAGGAGGGTGGATCCCCTGAGGCCAGGAGTTTGAGACCACCCTGGCCAACATGGCGAAACCCCATCTCTACTAAAAATACAAAAATTAGCTGGGCATGGTGGCAGGTGCCTGTAATCCCAGCTACTCGGGAAGCTGAGACAGGAGAATCACTTGAACCCGGGAAGCAGAGGTTGCAGTGAGCTGAGATTGTGCCACTGTATTCCAGCCTAGGTAACAGAGTGACTTCATCTCCAAAAAAAAAAAAAAAAAGATCATTCCTAATGCCAACAATGTTTAATAAGAGCTGTAATAAACTTTTAGCAAATGTGGTAAATTACAAATATGGATTTGTAATTACATCAAATACATTCAATAAATTACATTAAGAGTTGCTTAAATCCAATTACTTCTTTAGTAGAAGGCGATCCACAATACTTGGGATTGAGACATTATCTTTTAAAATGATAGCTGTCAAATAGATATTCAATTAAAAAGACACTTAAAAGATAAGTAGTACTATACAATATTAAACCTTAGAAAGGGTTACCATTTCTACAGCACAATTATAGATGAGTTTCTCTGCAGTCACACTGTTGATTTCATCAATAAACCTCTGTTTGTCAGAGAAGAATCGATTCAGCTTTTCTGTAAGTTTCTTGCACATGGTGATGCAGAATTTATATCGTTCGTTCAGATTTTTGACAACTGAAAAAAATTGAGATGGGAACTAATTTTAATTTTCCTCCAGAAATAAAGACACAGTGATATGTATCTTTCTTGCTGATATATAGGGAAGGTGTCACTAGTGATCATTCAAAAAAAAAGGACCAGAAATAGGATTCTTTCATATGTTATCTCTTTCAATATGAAAAGATTGAGAATAATGCACTTCTGATTTATATCAATTAAACTGCAAAAAGTTAATAACCCAGCATCTTTTCTCTTTAAGAATATTGAAAAATAAAAATAACAGTGAGTACTCATCAGACACTCTCACGGTGTGATGGGAAAGAGCAACTTAAGGACCCCTGGAGTCACACGCTGCCTTCTCCCATACCTTGTTTCACTGCTGTGGATGGGCTCAGTTTCCCGGACTTGATCTGGGCTTTGGCAAGATGCAGAGAAGCCGCAAGCAGCTGTGCTGCTTTCATGTACAACACCAGCTGCTCCACCCGCCTGCACCCAAAAGACAGTAGCAGAGGGTTATCTAGTGAACTAATCTAAGATGTGGCACTCTACACAACAGGTCAACATTAACATTGCCTTTCTATAAAGGAATAGCATCCTCTTTGATTTCCTTTTTTTTTTTTTTTTTTTGACAGAGTCTTGCTCTGTCCCCCAGGCCGAAGTGTAGTGGCTTGATCTTGGCTTACTGCATCCTCTACTTCCTGGGCTCAAGGGATCCTCCCACCTCAGCCTCCCGTGTACTAACATCTGGGACCACAGGGGCGCACCACCATGCCTGGCTAATTTTTGTATTTTTTGTAGAGACAGGGATTTATCATATTGCCCAGGCTGGTCTCGAATCCATGGGCTCACGCAATCCTTCTGCCCTATCCTCCCAAAGTGCTGGAATTACATATAGGCGTGAGCCACTGCGACCAGCCCTCCTTAATTTCTTAATGCACAAGTAAACTCTAGAGGGACAAGGCATAAAGATGTGTGTACTTTGAAAACAACGGATACACTCAGATAAAAATAAATACAATCTATTTACATAAATAGTAAAATTTATGTAATTTTAATGTAATTATCAACAGTATAATTTACAAGGAAAGGCAACACTAAGGTTGTATAATCTCCAGGTCTTGGCTCATATAGTGAAATCTAGTACAATGAAATAATTGAGACTCCTAGCTTTTAGCAGTGAGATACGATCTTCAGTGGATGACAATACCTATGACTTAGACACAAGTTTAGAGAAAGCATGAAAAGTCTGGAAATGAATGACAGGGGGGTACCCACCCCCAGTCTTTGCTCAGCTGACTGATCTGGTCCACCACCACACTCTCCTGGATCTGGTACAAGGACACAGCAGATGTGCACAGCTCAGGGTTTCCTCCCCTCACGGCTGTCAGGTCCAGCACACATTCAGTGAACATCAGCATCACATTCAGATGGCGTAAGGTGTCCGTGTGTTCCCGCTGCAGCAAAGTCAATTTGTCTTAGAAAATTTCAGATTAAAAATCGGTACATACTCATTTCTGTACATAAACCATGGCCACTGATCACATTTTCTATACTTATGAGTATCAGAATGACAAAAGGAGATTGAAATTTTTAAACTTCAGAAAGCTGGTAAGAAAATGAACACAAATGAAATCAAATTTAGGCATATGCATGTGTTTGTGTATATATATCAGAGTACCCACATAAGTAAACTCTCAGGATGAGTCGCTGTGCTTTTACCAGAAAAAGAAAAGAAAGCTGAAATGATTAAACCAATATACATGAGACAAAAACGTGACAAGTTAGACACCAAGATTATAAGGATACTATAGGTGCTAAATTACACCTCTTGATACTGTAGTGAATTCTGTTGACTTCTTATAATTTCAGAGTTGCTTTACTTAATTTCTGGTGGTTTTTCAGTTAACAGTGATTACTAATACCAAAGCTCTAAATTTCTGTGATCTTTTCAGTTAGTTAAAGAGGGGAGTGTGGGTAGACATAACAACATTCAGAGGGCTGTCATTTAAAAATGGGTATTCTAGGCCAGGTATGGTGGCTCACGCCTGTAATCCCAGCACTTTGTGAAGCTGAGGCAGGTGGATCACCTGAGGTCAGGAGTTTGAGACCAGCCTGGCCAACATGGCGAAACCCCATCTCTACTAAAAATACAAAAATTAGCCGCTGTGGTGGCATGTGTCTGTAGTCGCAGCTACTCAGGAAGCTGAGGCAGGAGACTGGCTTGATCCCAGGAGGTGGAGGTTGGAGTGAGCTGAGATCGCGCCACTGCACTCCAGCCTGGGTGACAGAGTGAGACTGTCTCAAATAAACAAACAAATAAATAAATAAATGGGTATTCTAGAATGTTGTTTTGAGATTTGTTTTTAGTTATAAACGCATTCTGAAATCTCAAATAAGCCTAAAAGTTTCCCACTCTATTATGGTTAAAGAAAGATGAGAATCATTTTCCTGGTGACAGAATAAGCCAATTGACTTCTAAGTCTTTCTGTTCTGTGACAGCATATTGGACTATATGTTTCAATATACTGGAACATGTACTGGAATGTACGAGAATGCTCATGCCTGTAATCCCAGCACTTTGGGAGGCAGAGGCGGGTGGACCACGAGGTCAGGAGTTCAAGACCAGCTTGGCCAACATGGTGAAACCCTGTCTCTGCTAAAAATACAAAAATTAGCTGGGCATGGTGGCACATGCCTGTAATCCCAGCTACTCGGGGAGCTGAGGCAGGAGAACTGCTTCAACCCAGGAGGCGGAGGTTGTGGTGAGCCAAGATCGCGCCACTGCACTCCAGTCTGGGCAACACAGCGAGACTCCATCTCAAAAAAAAAAAGAAAGAAAAACACAGAATCTATGCGTTTCTTCCTATAAACCAAAGCTTATTATGGATGAGTGTCACTGTCAACATTAATCTAAAACGACATCAGCGATACTTTTCAAACAGAAAAGGCACGTTAAAGAGAACATAATTTAGTAACTATTTAATGTATTTTGTTCTTGTCATCACTAGAATGTTCTCATACCAAATCAACATTACATTCACACCACTATAGTCTCTTCTCTACCTCCATCAGCGTCTCCTCCGGCAGTTCAGGGGCTTCAAAGGTGATGAGCCCCTCCAGGCTGGGGGGTGAAGCACCGTAAGGCACGTATCTCAGGCTGGGAGCTGCCTCTGCTCCTGGAGGGGAAGAGCCGAAGCCTGGGCCAGGCGGGGACCCCACACACACGCGGCCACTCACGGCACACAGAGAGCCCCCCGAGTTGCTAGGCCCCACTACAAGGAAACAGAGGATACATGGCAGTGTCCAGAGTCAGGGCTTTCACACCCACTCCTACTCTTATGTACTGAATAAACCTGCTGAGGTGATAAAGGAAATGTTAAAAGAAACTCACTGACCCCTATGTACTATTTGAGGATATTAATAGTCTTTACCTATCCATGTTCATTGTTATTCCTTGTCTATATATTTTATATTAGACATCATCACAGCTGGTTTTTTTAATACTCTGGGTTTTTTTTTGTTTTTTTGTTTTTTTTTTTTTTGAGACGGAGTCTCGCTCTGTCGCCCAGGCTGGAGTGCAGTGGCCGGATCTCAGCTCACTGCAAGCTCCGCCTCCCGGGTTTACGCCATTCTCCTGCCTCAGCCTCCCGAGTAGCTGGGACTACAGGCGCCCGCCACCGCGCCCGGCTAGTTTTTTGCATTTTTTAGTAGAGACGGGGTTTCACCATGTTCGCCAGGATGGTCTCGATCTCCTGACCTCGTGATCCGCCCGTCTCGGCCTCCCAAAGTGCTGGGATTACAGGCTTGAGCCACCGCGCCCGGCCAATACTCTGTTTTAAACAAATTTAGATCATATTCATTTCTCCTTGCTGTTCCACAGGGCCTCATAATTATAAAACTCAATGGATGCATAGTGATTCATTAAGTTTATATATAATGTTTATCTGGAGTTATTTATACTATTTCTGATTTTATTCATATTACAAATAGCACTGTAATGAAATGCAGTTGTTCCTTCTTTTGAATAATTTCTTTGTGATAAATACTCTGAAGTGGTATAAGAAGGAATGGAATTAGCATATTTTTACAGCTCTTCCTAAGAACTAACCTAAGAACTAAGATCAATACATATTTTTATAGCTCTTCCTAAGAACTGCTATATTACTCTTTAACGCAGCCCTGAGTAAGCACATAGATCCTATTTAAACCTCAATAACACTGGACATGATACTTTTTTTTTTTTTGAGACAGGGTCTTGTTGTTGCCCAGGCTGGATTGCAGTGGCGTGATCACAGCTCACTGCAGCCTTGATTTCCTGGGCTCAGGTAATTCTTTCATCTCAGCCTCACAAGTAGCTGGGACTATAGGCGTATGCCACCATGTCTGGCTAATTTCTGTATTTTTTTTGTAGAGATGGGGTTTTACCATGTTGCCCAGGCTGGCCTCGAACTCCTGACCTCAAGTGATCCTCCCGCCTCAGCCTCCCAAACTGCTGGGATTACAGGCGTGAACCACCATGCCCAGTCTTGGATATTATACTTTTTAAAATGTAGTTAGAGTTAACAGATACAAATGTTACTTTCTTAAAATGGCATTTTCTTATTATTCAAGGTTTTTAACTGTCTTAAAAATACGATTTTAGGTCTATTTTCTCTTATTATCTATTTCTGTCCTTTGCTTATTAATCTGGTATCTTGATTAGCAACTTATTTAGAATAAGATAACTTGACTCATGGTACAACAGAGAAGATGTCGAATTATTGATTTCAAGTCCAATCTAAATACTTTCTTAATTTTTGGTATTAACCTATTTACAGATTATAAATGATAAAACAAATCTATTAGCCTTCTAACTGTATATAGGATTAAGTGCAAAGATTTGAGACCCAAAGTACAAAAAATTTAAAAAATAAATAAAACAAGTTTCTTTCCTTTTTTCTTTTTTTTTGAGACAGAGTTTTGCTCGTTACCCAGGCTGGAGTGCAATGGCGCAATCTCGGCTCACTGCAACCTCCACTTTCCAGGTTCAAGTGATTCTCCTGCCTCAGCCTCCTGAGTAGCTGGGATTACAGGCACCTGCCACCACATCTGGCTAAATTTTTATATTTTTAGTAGAGACAGGGTTTCACCATGTTGGCCAGGCTGGTCTCGAACTCCTGGCCTCAAGTGATCTGCCTGCCTCAGCCTCCTAAAGTGCTGGGATTACAGGCATGAGCCACCGCACCTGGCCAAAACAAGTTTCTTTAAAACAAACAAACAAACAAAAAGCCTATAATTTTCAAATAATTTATTGGATCTACTAAAGTAACCCTTTAATATATAAGCTGAGAAGAACCATATTTGATTTGCTTCTTCATGAATAAGTCATATTTATACTATGTCACTTTGTAATATATTATATAGAACATATAGTATTTTAATATATAATATAGCACTTTACAAAGTTTTTTTCCCACAAATAATGCCTCATTTACTTCTTAAAACCCATTAAGATAAAGAAAATAGTAATCTCCATTTCACTGGTAAAGAAACTGAAGCCCCGAGAATTAAGTGACTTGGCCAAGTTACAACACTGAGTCATTTGTCAAAACACTACATTCCAAATACTAGCCAAAGACTGTAATACAATAAATGCTCCTTACCTGAGGTTGTTCTTGCTCGAAGGAGCATGTGGGTACAAGTGGGGGCTACTGCACTGTGTGGAGGAGACCCTACAGTGAAGAGGACAGCCCTGGAACTTGCAGCTATACCTGCAGGAGGTGCCAGAACAATACCACAGGCTCCTGCTGGAGCTACAACAAAAAGTTTACAGAAGGTCATGTTACCTTGATAGTGTTTATATCTGGGAGATGGGATTGCAGGTGGATACTGACTTTTATATCAGGAGTCTAGTTTTTTTTTTTCTCTCTCTTCTTACAAAAAGTACTTATTGCTCTTAAAATCAGAAAATGTAATACAATATTTTCATTAAAATAATTTATAGTAATCTCAAGTGTGAATCTTCTTCACACCAAAATCTAGCATTTGGAGTTTTATTTGTATACTTCTAAAATACATGAACTGTAAGTTATACATGTTGAAGACAGTCCTAAAAAGTGAAGGCCAAGAACTGGGAATAAAAACATGTTAAGCTAGGGTGGGTGTGGTGGCTCATGCATGTAATCCTAGCACTTTGGGAGGCCAAGGTGGGTGGATCACCTGAGGTCAGGAGTTCGAGACCAGCCTGGACAACGTGGTGAAACTCTGTTTCTACTAAAAATGCAAAAAATTGCCGGGCGTGGTGATGCGTGCCTGTAATCATAGGCCTGACTCAAGAGCCTGAGTCAGGAGAACCTCTTGAACCCAGGAGGCAGAGGTTACAGTGAGCCGAGATCGTGCCATTGCACTCAGCCTGGGTGACAGAGCGAGACTCCGTCTCAAAAAAAAAAGAAAAGAAATCAAAATAAAGACATTCTCAAATAAACAAAAGCTGAGAGAATTCACTGCCAGCAGACGTGTCTTACAAGAAATATAAAGGACAAAGGATAGTTCTTCAGACCAAAAGTAACTAACTCCAAATAGTAATCCCAATCTGTAAAGATAATTATAAAACACAAACTGTATAGTTCTTCTGTTAACTGATTTAAAAAGCAACTGTATAAAACATGTATACAGTTGCATTGTCAGGTCTATAGCATATAGAAATGTAAAGTTCATTTAATTATTATTATTATTTTTTTATTTTTTTATTTTTTTTGGAGACGGAATCTCACTCTGTCGCCAGGCTGGAGTGCACTGGCGAGATCTTGGCTCATTGCAACCCCCGCCTCCTGATTCTCCTGCCTCAGCCTTCCGAGTAGCGAGTAGCGGGGATTACAGGTGGGTGCCACCACGCCCAGCTGATTTTTGTATTTTTAGTAGAGACGGGGTTTCACCATGTTGGCCAGGATAGTCTCGATCTCTTGACCTTGTAATCCATCCGCCTTGGCCTCTCAAACTGCTGGGATTACAGGCGTGAGCCCCCGCGCCTGGCCTTACTTTTTATTTTATTATTATTTTTTTTTATTTTTATTTTTTTTGAGACGGAGTCTGGCTCTGTCACCCAGGCTGGAGTGCAGTGGCCGGATCTCAGCTCACTGCAAGCTCCGCCTCCCGGGTTCACACCATTCTCCTGCCTCAGCCTCCCAAGTAGCTGGGACTACAGGCGCCTGCCACCTCGCCCGGCTAGGTTTTTTGTATATTTTTTTTAGTAGACAGGGTTTCACCGTGTTAGCCAGGATGGTCTCGATCTCCTGACCTCGTGATCCGCCCGTCTCGGCCTCCCAAAGTGCTGGGATTACAGGCTTGAGCCACCGCGCCCGGCCTTACTTTTTATTTTTTTAGAGACTGGGTCTCCACCTGTCACCCAGGCTGAAGGGCAGTGGTATAGCTCACTGCATAGCTCACTGCAGCCTCGAACTCCTGAGCTCAAGTGATCCTCCTGCCTCAGCCTTCCACAGTGTTGGGATTACAGGAGCGAGCCACTGCACCCAGCCAGAAATATATTTGATAATAATAACATAAAGGAGTCAGATGGGATTAAAACTGTATTAGGGTAAGGAAATGACACCAGATGGTAAATCAAATCCACAAAAACAAAACAAACCAAGAGAACCAGAAATGATAAATAAGAAAGTTAATATAACAAACTATAAACACATACTTGCTTTCTTTTCTTAGCTTCTTTTCAAAGACATAAAATTACAAACCAGAGTAAGACGGCAAAATAGAAGCCTCCACCAATTGTACAATACACCCCCCCAAAATTTGCGCACAATAAAGCACCTTTATAAGACCCAAAAATCAGGTGAATGATCACAGTACCTGGTTTTAACTTCGTATCACTGAAAGCGGCACTCAAGAGGGTAGGAAAGGTAGTCTTGAACTGCCAGCACTACCCTCCGCCACTCCCCTGGCAGTGGCTGCGTGTGGTGAAGAAATAATCTGTGTACTTGGGGGAGGGAGAGTGCAGCAATTTGGGGACTGCACATTGAACTCAGTGCTGCCCTGTCACAGTGCAAAACAAAACCATGCTGAACTCCGCTGGTATCCGCCCACAGAGGGAGCACTTGGACCAGCTGTAGCTAGAGGGAAAGTGCCCACCTGAGTGGCCAGAATGTGAGTTTCCGCAAGCCTCGCCACCACAAGCTAAAGCGCTCTGGGTTCAAAGTGAACTTGAAAGGCAGCCTAGGATACAAGGAACGCAATTCCTAGCCAAATCCTGGTTCTGTGCTGGGCTTAGAGTCAGTGGATTGGGGCACAATCTAGGGAGACATCAGACAGCGCTTCTAAGGGAGGGTTTGTGCCATTCCTCCTCCCAAACCCAGGCAGCGCAGCTCACAGCAACAAAAATGACTCCTTCCTTCTGCTTGAGGACAAGAGAGAAAGGTAAAAGGGGCTTTCTCTTGCGTCTTGGATACTAGGCTCAGCCACAGTAGGACAGACTCCGGGCAGAGTCGTGAGACCGCCATCCCAGGCCCTAGTTCCTGTTGACATTTCTAGCCACACCCTGAGCCAGAAGGGAACTCACTGGCCTTGAAAAAAAAAGACCCAGTCTTGGCAAGATTCATCACCTACTGACTCAAGAGTCTTCGGGCCCTGAGTAAGCAATAACCACTACCCAGGGAGCATGCTTGGGCCTTGGGGGAGACTCTGAGACATGCTGGCTTCAGGCATAGCTTGATCACAGTGGCATAGAGCACTAAGCAGGCTCTTGGGGTTTCCAAATCTAGGCCTAGGCTCTTGGACATTTCTGGACCTGCCCTGAAGGGTGGGGTCCTAGGCCTAGTAGCACTCAGTACACGCTGACTGAAGAGCCCTTGGGCCTTAAGTTAACATCAGTGGTGGCCTGGCAGAACTCCTTGTGGGCCAGTGGTGGTTATGGCCACAGGGATAGGTTCTTCTGCCTGTGGTAAGGGCGGGAAAGATTGGGAAGGACTTTGTCTTGTGGTTTGAGTGGCAGCTTCGCTGCAGTAGGATAGGATACCAGGTAGATTTCTAAGGTTTTTAAATTCCCATCCCTGACTCCCAGATAGCATCTCTGGACATGCCTGGAGCCTGGGGAACTTGTTGCCCTGAAAGGAAGGACACAAACCTGGCTGGTTTCACCACCTGCTGATTTTAAGTCCTGGGGCTTGAGCGAACATAGGTGGTAGCCAGGCAGTGGTTATAGAGGGCCTTGGGCAAGACCCAGGGCTGTGCTGGCTTCAGGTCTGAACGAGGTGGTTCCAGTGGTGCTGGCCACAGGGGTGTTTGCATCACCCCACCCCCACCTCCAAGCAGCTCAGCATAGAGAGAGAGATACGCCATTAGTTGCTCACCTTTTGATAAAAAGGGAACAGAACAAAAGTCTCTACCTGGTAATCCATAGAATTCTTCTGGATCTTATCCAAGTCTACAAGTCTGCAAGAACTACAGCATTATTGGGCTTGGAGCCCAAGTCCCGTCAAATACCTGGAAAGTCTCCCCAAGAAGGACGGGTACAGATTGCAAAGCCCAGATTGTGAAGACAACAGTAAATACCTAACATGTCAATGCCCAGACACGGACAAAAATCTATATCAAGACCAGTCAGGAAAACATGAACCTACCAAGTGAACTAAATAAGGCACCAGGGACCAATCATGGAGAAAGAGAGATATATAACCTTTCAGATAGAGAATTCAAAATAGCTGTTTTGAGAAAACTCAAGGAAATTTAAGATAACATAGAGAAGAAATTCAAAATTCTATCAGATAAATCTAACACAGATTGATATAATTAAAAGAATCAAGTAAAAATTCCAGAGGTGAAAAATGCAATTGACATACTGAAGAATGCACTGGAGTCTCTTAATAGCAGAATTGATCAAGCAGAAGAAAGAATTAGTGAGCTATGAAAATAGGCTATTTGAAAATAAAGAGGAAACAAAAGAAAAAAATGAAAAAGAATGAAGGAAGCCTACAAGATCTAAAAAAATAGCTGCAAAAGAACAAGTCTAAGGGTTATTGGCCTTAAGTAGAAAGACTAAACAATGACCCGATGAAAAATAATAACTACAACTTTTCAAAAGGTAGACAGTACAATAACATGTAGAGAGAAACAACAAAAAGTTAAGAAGCAAGGAGATAAATTTAGAGTATTTTTAGTTTTCTTATTGCTTGTTTATGCAATCAGTGTTGTCATCACTTTAAAATAATGCATCAGGCCGGGAGCAGTGGCTCACGCCTATAATCCTAGCAATTTGGGAGGCCAAGACAGGTGAATCACCTGAGGTCAGGAGTTTGAGACTATCCTGGCAAACATGGTGAAACTCCATCTCTACTAAAAACACAAAAATTTGTCGGGTGTGGTGGCAGGCGCCTGTAATCCCAGCTACTTGGGAGGCTGAGGCAGGATAATCACTTGAACCCAGGAGGCAGAGGTTGCAGTGAGCCAAGATCGCGCCATTGCACTCCAGTCTGGGTGACAACAGTGAAACTCCATCTCAAAAATAAAAAAATTAAATTAAATCGAATTAATGGATAGTATTTGCAAGCTCATGGTAACCTCAAATAAAAAAACATATACTGGATACACAAAAAATAGAAAGCAAGAAATTCAGTGATACCACCAGAGAAAATCACCTTCACTAAAAGCAAGAAGGAGGGAGGGAGGAAGGAAGGAAGGAAAAAGAAGACCAGAAAACAAATAACAAAATGGCAGGATTAAGTCCTTAGTTACCAATACAAACATTGAATATAAATGAACTAAACTCTTTAATCATGAGTTAAAAGACATTGAGTGGCTGAATGGATTAAAAAAATAAGCCCCACCTATCTGGTGCCTATAAGAAACACACTTCACCTATAGAGACACACATAGACTGATAATAAAGGGATGGAAAAGGATATTCCATGCAATGGAAACTAAAAAAGAGCAGGAGTAGCTATACTTACATCAGACAAAACAGATTTCAAGACAAAAACCATAAAAAGAGACAAAGGTCATTATATAATGACAAAGGGGTCAATTCAGCAAGAGGATATGACAACTGTAGATATATACGCACCCAACACTGGAGCATACAGATATATAAAGCAAATATTATTATTAGAGCTAAAGACAGAGATAGACCCCAATACAATAATAGCTGGAAACTTCAGCACCCCATTTTCACACTTGGATAGATCATCCAAACAGAAAATCAACAAAGAAACATCAGACATAATCTGCACTATAGGTCCTAATTGATATTTACAGAACGTTTCACCCAATGGCTGCAGAATATACATTCCACTCAGCATATGGATCATTCTCAATGATAGACCATATGCTAGGTCACAAAACAAGTCATAAAACATTAAACAACAACAACAATGGCATAGTGGCTCACACCTGTAGTTGCAGCACTGTGGGAGGCCGAGGCGGGCAGATCACTTGAGGTCAAGAGTTCAAAACCAGCTTTGCCAACATGGCAAATCCTGTCTCTACTAAAATTACAAAAATTAGGTGGGCATAGTGGCTCAAGCCTATAATCCCAGCACTTTGGGAGGCTGAGGCGGGCAAATCACATGAGGCCAGGAGTTCCAGACCAGCTTGGCCAACATGGTGAAACCCCGTCTCTACTAAAAATACAAAAAAAGCTGGGTATGGTGGCACACACCCGTGGTTCCAGTTACTCAAGAGGCTGAGGCAGGAGAATCACTTGGATCCAGGAGGAGGTTGCAGTGAGCCAAGATTGCAGCACTGTACTCCAACCTGGGCAACAGAGTGAAACTCTCTAAAAAGAAAAAAAAAAAATTACAAAAATTAGCTAGGCATGGTGGTACACACCTGTAATCCCAGCAACAAGGGAAGCTGAGGCACAAGAATTGCTTGAATCTGGGAGGTGGAGATTGCAGTGCACCAACATCATGCCACTGCACTCCAGCAACACCCTGTTTACAAAAAAAAAAAAAATTTTTTTTGAAATAATATCAAGTTATCTTCTCCTACCACCATGAAATAAAACTAGAAATTAATAAGAGGTATTTTGGAAACTATATAAATACATGGAAATTAAACAATATGCTCCTGAATGACCAGTGGGTCAATGAAGAAAGAAGGAAATTGAAAAATTTATTGAAACAAATAATAATGGAAACACAACATACCAAACCTTTGGGATTACAGTGAAAGCAGTAGTAAGCGGGAAATTTATAGCTAAAAGTGCTTACACATCAAAAAAGAAGAAATCTTCAAACAATCTAACAATGCATCTTAAAGAACTAGAAAAGCAAGAGCAAACCAAACCTAAAATTACTAGAAGAAAAGAAATAATAAAAATCAGGGCACAAATAAACAAAATTGAAACTAAGAAAACAATATAAAAGACCAAGGAAATGAAAGTGGTTTACTGAAAAGATAAATAAAATTAACAAACCTTTGACCAGACTAAGAGGAAACAAGACCCAAAAGCCCTCATGAATAGATTAATGCCATTATAAAAGGAATTGAGGTTAAAGGACAAGCCCTCTCCTGACCTTCTGCCTTCCACTATGTGACGAAGCAGCAAGACTCTCACCAGAATAAGTGCCTTGATCTTGGACTTTCAGCCTACAGAATGGTAAGAAAGTAAACTTCTGTTCATTATAAATTATGCAGTCTCAGATGTTCTGTTATAGCAGCACAAAATGGACTAAGAAAGACTTCAATATTCACTAAATTGATCTAATAATGCAATCTCCATCAAAAACCCAGCCAGTCTCTCTACAGAAACTGACAAGATGATGCAAAAATTCATATGGAAACTCAAGACACCCCTAATAACCAAAACAATCTTGAAAAAGCACAAAAAAGAAAAACTCCTATTTCCTGATTTTGAAACTTAAGACAAAGCTACAGTAATCAAGGTAGTATGGTACCAGCAAGAATTGACATATGTATCAATGAAATAGTTGAGTCCAGAAATAAACATATTTATGGTTGTATTAGTTCGTTTTCCTACTGCTATAAATAACGCCCAAGACTGGGAAATTTATAAAGGAAAGAGGTTTAATTGACTCACAGTTAAGCATGGCTGGGGAGGCCTCAGGAAACCTACAATTATGGTGGAAGGCAAAGGAGAAGCAAGGCACTTTCTTGACAAGGCAGCAGGAAGGAGAAATGCTGAGCAAAGTGGGGAAGAGCCCCCTTATAAAACCATCATATCTCATGAGAACTCACTATCACCAGAACATCATGGGGGAAACTGCCCCCATGATTCAATTACCTCCACCTGGTCTCTCCCTTGACACATGGAAATTAAGGGAATTATATTTCAAGATAAGATTTGGGTGGGGACACAAAACCTAACCCATCAATGGTCAACCAATTTTTGACAAGGCTAGCAAAAATAGCAAAACAACACAACAGGGAAAGAATAATCTGCAATGGTGCTGCGACCGCGGAATAGCCCATCCAAAAGAATAAAGCTGGATCCCTTCACCACATCATCCATAAGAATTAAGTCAAACTGAACCACAGACGTAAGTGTAAGAGCTACATCTCACACTTTTAAAATTAGAATTATAAAGCTGTCGGAAGAAAATACAGAGTTAGGCAAGGTCCAGATGCAATTTAAGGAGTGTCTAGGGAAACCCACAGACAACAGGAGAGACAAAACAAGGATACCAGAGAAAATGTTAGCCTCTGATACCCACAGCTACGGCAAATGCTAAATAAAGCTTAACTCCTGGCCAGATAAACAAAAAACCTCATACTAGAGGCCTATTTAACTCAGTTTTTAAACAAAGTATATCATACTCCCCTCAATTAAAAGGCATGCTAAATGGCAAAAATACAGTTTGAAAAGAGAGAGCAAGTCAAACATCAGAACCAGACTCACATATGGCAGAGATACTGGAATTATTTAATATCACACTGGGAATTTAAAGTAATGATAATTTAATATACTAAGGGCTCCAATGGAAAAAGTGGACAACATGCAAGAACACATAGGTAATATAGACAGAGAGATGGAAACTCAGAAAGAGTCTAAAAGAAATGCTAAAAATCAAAATCACGGTAACAGAAACAAAGAATGCCTTTGATGGGCTCATCAGTAGACTGGACTTTGCCAAGGAAAGAATCAGTGAGATTAAAGATACGTCAATATCTTCCTGAAACTTCCTGAACTAAAAAGCAAAGAGAAAGAAGAATGAAAAGAAGAAGAAAGGCCGGGCGCGGTGGCTCAAGCCTGTAATCCCAGTACTTTGGGAGGCCGAGGCGGGTGGATCACGAAGTCAGGAGATCGAGACCATCCTGGCTAACATGGTGAAACCCCGTCTCTACTAAAAATACAAAAAACTAGCCGGGCATGGTGGCGGGCGCCTGTAGTCCCAGCTACTCGGAGGCTGAGGCAGGAGAATGGCGTAAACCCGGGAGGCGGAGCTTGCAGTGAGCCGAGATCACGCCACTGCACTCCAGCCTGGGTGACACAGCGAGACTCCGTCTCAAAAAAAAAAAAAAAAAAAAAAAAAAGAAAAGAAGAAGAAAAAAGAACAGACTAAGAACAATGGAGCCAGTGCCTGGCTAGCTCAGTCAGCAGAGCATGAGACTCTTAAGACCAATGGGCCAACTGTAAGAGTGGAACATATACTTAATGGGAATACCAGAAGAATGAGAGAGAAAAGCAGAAAACATTCAAAGCAGTAATAATGGCTGAAAAACTTCCAAAATTAATGACAGAATCAAACCACGGACCTAGGAAACAGAAAACACCAAGCAGAAAGAATATGAAAAAATCTGCATCTAAGCATATCATATTCAAACTTCAGAGAATCAAAAACAAAGAGAAAATTCTGAAAGAAGCCAAAGACAAAAACACACCTCACCTATAGAGAACAAGGGTAAGAATTACATCAGACTTCTCTTTAGAAACTGAAGGGAAGAAGACAGTACAGTGAAATATTAAATCCTACAGTATTCTCTTTGGGTTAGAAACCATGCTGGCTCAGATATTTCCTCCTTTGGATGCTCGTGGGGAAAATTAAAAAATCATAGAGAAAAAAAACCAAGTAGATTACAATAGTGATTCTCAAATTTGAGTGTCCACAATAATCACCTGGGAGTGTATTACATATATTGATTCCTAAAAACCCCCAGAAAATTTAAGCAAGCAAGTCTGGAATACGGAATTAAGAGTCTAGAATCTGCATTTTGTTTTTGTTTTTTGACACGCAGGCCAAGTAATCTAGATATGTATGGGTGGTTATGAACGTACAGTCTCTGGAGCAACTCCAAAAGGTTCAGGGGTCTCAGTGATGTATGGGTCTTTATAAAATCCAGTCACTGTAAAGTAAATGCTCAGGAATGCATGTAGGTTTAGGCCAACTTCGACCAGTATTATCCTACTGACAAAAAAAATCTTTGTCAGAACTCCTTCTATTAATAACTCACAGACTGCTGCTCATCAAGATACTGAATAAGCTCCTGCTGTGAATGGGCTACTGAGGAGGAAGATGAGAGGATAGGTATGACATCCAGAACTGTAAAATAATACATTTGTGTTATTTTATGCCACCAAGCATGTGGTGATTTGTTACAACAGCAGTAAGAAACTAATACATATGCTAGCAAATTATCTGCCTAAAAAGAAACTACATTTTTCTTACCTATATCCATTGGTCGTTCTGTATTTAAACTGTCTGTGCTGCCCTGATGTCCACCTATAGGAGTCTTTCCTTGTTGATCTGATAACTTCCCAGTACTGACAGATCTAAAAAGAATGGTGATGTTTTTAATAAAGGAAAACTATACTTTTTAAAACTAGAAGGGTTAATAGGAAGTTAGAGAATGAGGAAACAAGAAATAGATACCAAACAATTCAGGGTAGAGATAAACTTCAATAATAAAAATAAAGGACAGAAATAGAATATTCAAGAAGTTCAGGAAGAACTATGTACTTACACAGTTACAGGAAGCATCTATGGTTTTCAGAGATTCTAAATGTATGCTGTACATATCAATAACCATATGGCATAAATCACCTGCTATACTAATGTAGTCTTGCTGCTTTTATAATAGAAATCTATTTGTTTTACTATTACAGTTTTCATGTTTAAGGCTAGAATGGAAACAGTCTTTTACCTGCCAAACACTGCCTTGCTCTGCTGCTCAGCCCGCTGCCTCTCACTTCCTTGCACTAAGAGGCAATGGGCACATTCCCGTGGTTCATTCCCATCTTTGGATTGTTCTTCAGCAGGCCCATGACGAGTAACCAAGGCTAACAGGTTGGAAGATGCTTGCGTTTTAGGGATTTTGAAAGGAGCTGTGGTCTAAAGAGACATATATATATGTAAACTAGTTAATATAATGCATGAACTATTCAGTAATGGAAGGTTTGTGTGACCCAGTAGTCAGAAGTATTGGTCAGGGTGGTGGGAAAAATTGTAGAAAGATACAAACCTTCTTGGAAGGCCGAGAGGTTTTACAAAAGCTAGGATTTAGCTGAAGGCAGCCAGCTTCTCTTATCCGGTGCCTGACAGGTTAGGTTAGGTAACAACGGGATGAAAAAAAAACTGATCTAGATAAGTTAGTTTACTTAGGCCTTGGAACCTGGACTTTAATCATCTACACACAATTACCCACAAGTATGTTGACTCAAGGCCTTTATCATTAAATCTGTACTAAATAAATGCCTGCAGCACTAGCATGTCAGAGCCATGGCAGCTACAACTCTTTCTGTGAACGGCCCGGTCCCCTAGCCCACTCCTTCACTGAATGTGTTGGAGTGCATTTTTTCATCCACTGCTTCGTCAGGGTCTGCGGGTCAGACCTGGCAGGAGTATGGACTCTGGCGTCAGTCAAACCCAGATTCAAACACTGGCAGCTCTATTTACAGCTTGAGTGACCTTGCACAGTTCATTTAAACTCTCTAAGCCTCAGTTTCCTTTTATCAGGATTAAATGGGATCATACACAAAAAGAATTCTGCAAGTAAAGTACTTACACTGCATCTGGCACATAGAAAGTGTTCATTATATTATAACTATTATTGGCCAGGAGCGGTGGCTCACACCTGTACTTCCAGCATTTTGGGAGACTGAGGCAGGCAGGTTACTTGAGACCAGGAGTTCAAGACCAGACTGGCCAACATGGTGAAACCCCATCTCTACTAAAAATACAAAAAAAATTAGCTGGGCAAGGTGGCACATGCCTGTAATCCCAGCTACTCAGGAGGTTGAGGTACCAGAATGGTTTGAACCTGGGAAGCAGAGGTTGTAGTGAACTGAGCTTGCACCACTGTACTCCAGCCTGGGCAACAAAGCAAGACTCTGTCTCAAAAAATGAAATAAATAAATTATAGCTATTCTCATAATGAATCCTTTCCATAAAGTACTATACTAGTTCCTAACCTACAAAAGGGTTTAATAAACACACCTTAGTAGGAGAGCCAATGATTGTTGGCAAAGGAGTTTTAAAGAACCAGTCAGAACTCCGTGGAGAGGACCCCAAGTGCTTGGTGGGAGAAGTTCCAAGGCTGCCAGGCCGGCTGGGCTGAGGTGAGTAGCTGTACCCAGCCCCAGCATGGGTTGGGCACACGGGGTCAGAGTGCTGCTTTCTGAGCTTCTGCTTGTTCTGATAGATGTCAGTGAGGGTGGGGGCGCTCTGCAGTCTAGCACCCAATAAGAGGGACTGTGGTGACTGAGCTTGTGGCACTGGAGAACCTAACAAGAAAACAAATGTAACGTTAACCCAAAGTGAAGAAGTGCAGTGCAAAAATGTAAAAATTAAGAAGACAGTTTTTAAAATGAGAATTCTGATAAATATCTTATTTTTCATAAGACATTCTAAAAGTGATTTACTTGGCAAGAGACTATTTTTCTGCCATCCTTTGCAAAACAAATCCATTGTTCATATTCTCAGGAGACAGATTTTAATGATTATGGGTTACTCGCTGTTTTTAATCAGTAGCTAGTAAATAACTCAGATTAATGCAAGGTCTGATTAGCACCAAAGAGAGCAATATCGTTAGTGATTAAAGTTAATGAATACAACAAAAACCTACATTGAACAGGATGATTTTTACTCTATATGAATACATACCTTGGTAAATCTATGTAATTATTCTCTTTTCTCACACAGCAACTAAAACTCAAACTAACCCAAAATAACTCCTTATTCAAAAAAAACAAAATAAACAAATATATATAATGTGTAGGAAAGATCATAAGATAACAGACCTTTCCCAAATTTTACTTTGTGTAAAAATAACAAGCATGTGAATTTTCTGTACTTTGTCCATTAAATTACACACTTAAAACCGAAAGCATCCATATTCTCACAAAGAGAACACTTGCCCGCAGACATCCTTGCCTCTCAGGGGAAACCAAATCAAGAGTCTAGGAGATAAGGTCCCCTTTTCCCCCCTACAAACCTTGTTGCCAACCCAAGGTCCACTAATCCTTGACTCCAGTTACACACTCTTCGGAGTTTCTTAGAAGCCAAACTATCAAGAATTAACATTAAGAGCATGCAAATATTCTTAGTGACCTAACCATCATTATTCTAAAAACAGAAACCAACAGAAGCTTTGCTGTTGACCACTCCTGGCTTCACCTCATTCCAAACTTGATATTTAATTTTACTGCGCTTTATAAAAATAAATTCGTGTTAAAATCTTATGGTCTGACTAAAGTTATTTAAGCTTCGTTAAAGAGTGCTTTTCTAAGTAACACAGGAGTCCTCTAACTGGTCAACTCCTCAAATATCCATACAATAGAATTTAACTTATAAAGCTGCGATTCACACATATATTTTCAGGCATATACATATAATTTTAAAAATCTGTATTATTTTATCTGATGCTGACTCATGGCTCTTACCAAACAGTATTAATCATTCCGAAACGGTGGCTCACACCTGTAATTCCAACACTTTGGGAGGCCAAGGCAGGAGGATCACAAGGTCAGGAGTTCGAGTCTAGCCTGGCCAATATGGTGAAATCCCATCTCTACTAAAAATACAAAAGTTAGCCGGGCATGGTGGCGCTCGCCTGTAGTCCCAGCTACTTGGGAGGTTGAGGTAGAAGAATCGCTTGAACCCAGGAGGCGGAGGTTGCAGTGAGCCAAGATCGTGCCACTACATTCCAGCCTAGGCGACAGAGCGAGACTCCAATTTAAAAAAAAAAAAAGGTATTAATCAATAGTATTAAAGTAATGAAATTTCACTTCGTAAATAATTTTCATTATCTATGTGAAAATAAGCAAAACTTAGCCAAGTTATTTAATTCCTAAGACTTACTTTCATTAAGGAATCTCATATTCAAAAGGAGGTATTAGATTAGCTTTATGATATGTTAAACCACATTAGACCAATATTCTAAAAATCAGGATGGCAGAGGAGATAATTCATATCAATTCTGTTCTTTGAGAAGACTAGAAAAACACAACTCAAATCCATTTATAATACAATTCAAATTGTTAATAAACCAAATACATTCTCCTACCTGAGGAGTTTCTACTCCTGGAGTCATGGCCCTGAGGATGCCCACAGCAGCACTGACTGAATTGCTCAGGAATGGTACCAACTACAAAAAAAAAAAAAAAAAAGATGGGAAAAGGAAGAAAAATATCCAAAACCAATAAAAGACAGCAACAGGCAACACATGCACAAATTACACAGTAAATTACTGGTTAGAAAATTTTAAGGAACAAAGGTTTGGTTCAACTAACATTTACGGGAGGACCAATCTGCTGGGTGCTGCACACTAAGATAAAAAGTATCGTATAATCTGCCTTGAAACAAGAACATTAGGGGAAGAAAAGCCACATAAACAAACACATGCTCCTAACAAGTATGTCCACAAGACAGATAAGTACAAAGAGTTTGTACAAAGTGTCCGGGCTTGGGGAGCTGCGAGGCATGGCTAACAGACAGCCCCAGCTGCAGTCCCTCTGGATCTACCACACTGGTGCCAAGGCTAGGCTTCCCCCAGGAGCTGTTCCCAGTCAGTGACTGCATATGGTGGGGCACTAATTCAGGCTTGTTGAAGCAGGTCAGGGAATTCCTCTAACAAGACAATCCAGTGCTTGGGGCTACTCCTTCAGTCTGGCTGAAACCTTCTTAGACCTACATCACAGTCTGAGACTCTTCCTGGCCAGCTCTTCCTCCTTCCTGCCCTCCTTTTCCAGGTGTTGGACCTATGTTTGGTCTGAGGGCCCTCCCTGCTTCCTCCTGCTCCTCCCCTTCATTCTTCACAGGAGTTTCCCCAAGTCACTCTCTTGTATATAGCATGTTCTATGCATCCATTTCTCTGAGAACTAAAACTAACATAGAGAGAGTTAGGGAAGGCTTCAGGGGAGTTTAAGCAGATGAGAAACATATGTCTACATCAAGAGGGCTCATTCCAAGGGATCAGGCAGCGGGCAGAGATCAGATCCTTAGGGAAGGGCTTTATTCTTGTGTGCAAGAATGAGATCTGGACCTTGTCTTTGGAGACCCTGAAGTACCTCAGGGGCTGCTGCAGGAGTGAGAAAGGGCCAAAATTTTATTCAAAGATTTTTCATCTAAAAACAGCTTTGAAACCATTGCAACAGGTAATGTGGCAATTTAAACTTTTTTCCTTTTTCAACACTATCATTGTGTGTTTTGTCTTGTTTTAAATAGGGCTCCTGAGGAAAGCCCTTCTCTTTCTGTCTCTTCAGATTTCTTCCTGTTCCATCTTAGTCTTACTTCAGCAGTTCTGACTGAAGGTGGGGCCCTCCCCTGGAAGTATTTTTTTGCAGTTTTGAGATCTGCCACCCCGGGCCCTGTGTGCACCACCTGTTCTTCCCACCACCTCAATGCTGCCTCTCATACAGCTGCTGTAGTCTCAGTGGCTTTGGCTCTCTTACACATATTTCTGGAGTTTGAGCTTTTATTTCTGTCTCTTGGTTTCACTGAAGATACGGTATACGGTTTGTTTCTCCTTTTGGGAGGGTTTTTGTTGTTGCTGGTGTTGTTTGTATTGGCATTCTCCTTATTACAGTACCAGGAGAAGTGGGAAGATCTGTAACGAAGCTGCCACCACATGCCTACCGGAACTGGAAGGTTTCTGGTAATTGTGACCCAGAGCTGCTATACAGTAATCCTTATAAGTATGAGTGATAAGTAGAAAAGGCATTTTATGCACTTCAACCTAGGGTTTCTGACTTTGCATTCAGAGCCCAATCCCAAAGGAGACGCTTTTTATACATAAGTTACATTTATATTATTGTATTTCCAATAGAGATCCTAACACATTTATACAGAGATTCTCAAAAAGAATTGGGGCCAGATGCGGTGGCTCACACCTATAACCCCCGCACTTTGGAAGGCCAAGGCGAGTGGATTGCTTGAGCCCAGGAGTTCGAGACCAGCCTGGGTAACATAATGAAACTTTGCCTCTATAAAAATAAAAAAATAAAAAAAATTAGCTGGGTGTGGTGGCATGCGCCTGTAATTCCAGCTACTTGGGAGGCTGAGGTGGAAAGCTCCTTTGGACCCAGGAGGCAGAGGCTGCAGTGAGCCGAGATCATGCCCCTGCACTCCAGCCTGGGCAACAGAGTGAGACCTTGTCTCAAATAAAGAAAGAAAAAGAAAAAGAAAAAAAGAAAAGAGGGAGTTGGGATTGGGATAAAGATGGAAGGACGGGGTATGGCCTCCAATCAGCTGAGAATCACTGCCATCATGAGCCAAAGTTCCTAAAGAGAATGTGTAACGTCAGATTTATTACAGTGAAAAAAAGGTTGAAAACAACTGTTTTTAAACTCTCCTTACCCAAAGGGGAAGGTGAGTAAGGCCTAGAAGACCCAGTGGAGAGCCTTCGTCCAACTGTCTGTGCTGTGTCTGCTGGCACCGGGGAGCATGATCCCAGCCGGAGGAAGCCCATGGGGCTGGTGTTGGACCTTCGCACCACTGCAGATCTGAAAAGTAAATTATTCCTTTTATAAAAGGTTCTAGAACTCTCTCTTTATTCCTGCATTTTGTGAAACTTCCTAACAATATGCCATGGAGTAGTTTTCAGAAATATGTAATGTAGTCACATGGAACAATTACAAGATGCATAAAAAGAGTGAGGTCTCCCTCTCATTTTTCTATTCTATTTGCCTAATACCCAACACTTCCCCAATTCTATTCAAAAGGTTACCATGATTCTTAGTTTCTAGTGTATTCTTTCAGAGTTCCTTAATGCATACACAAAACAAACTAAATATATACTCTTATTTTCACCATGTTTTAACACTAAAGGTGGTATGTTACATACCAACCATTTGGAATCTTTTTGGTCTTAGGTCCTCTTTATACTCTTAAAAATTACTGAAGACCTCAGAGAGTTCTGTTTATGTAACTTATATCTATTGATATTTACTGTATTCAAAATGAAGCTGAGAAATTTTAAGAATTATTAACTCATTAATAAGCTTATTCCATGTAATATAAGATTATGAAAAAAAAGCATATTTTCCAAAACAAAATAAATTAGTGAAAGGCATGGCATTATTTTATACATTTTTATAAATTTCTAATGGCTCACAGAAGACATTTGGATTCTCACAATTGCTTCTGCATTCAATCTGTTGTAAGACACGTTATTTTGAGTAAAGTATATGAGGAGGATCCAGCCTTCCACAGATGTGTAACTGTGAAAGGAAGGAATATTCTGGTAGCCTTTTCAGGTTAACTGTGACATGCTTCTTTGATACTACACCAAAATTCAGCAAGTGGTTGTTGCTAAAAGGTTGACTGCAATGTGGATCTGAAACCAGATTAATGAACTCATACTCCATTATGCGAGACTCCATTCTTTTGCAAAGAATCTTGCACTTTGAATGAAACTTTTACCTGTGCATGATTTTTTTTAACCATTTAGTAATTTGGAAAACATTGGTTCACTGAGTTATGCAGATATTCCAATGTTGATACATTAAACAATATCAAAAAGTAATATTCATAACAAAATATCACCCTCAATTTTAAAAGAAACACCTGTCAAGGTATAACAGAAGCTGTCAAACTTGTATTGACCACTGAATTTTTCCAACATTCTAATTTTTGCTTAAAAGCTCAAGTTTTATCATTGACATTTACCATCACTTGTTTTCTTCAAAGTGGACTTACCATTTTTGACAAAATGGCTGCTTGATACCCATAACCATCGTTTGTCAGCCATTTTTTAAAGTAAAAAGGGTACTCTATGACAAAGCAGCTAGTTCAACTTGGAACTAGAACAATCATACCAGTGCTTTTCCTAAGATAACTACTCTAATATTAATGTGGCAAAAGTGCTTTATGTGTACATCCTACTCAAGGATTGAGATTTTCAAAGAAATATATTAATTTTTACTGCCTCATTAAGGACGTTCCTTTGTTTTTTTTTTTTTTTTTTTTTTTTTTTTTTTTTTTTTTTTTTGAGATGGAGTCTCGCTCTGTCGCCCAGGCTGGAGTGCAGTGGCGCGATTTCGGCTCACTGCAAGCTCCGCCTCCCGGGTTCACGCCATTCTCCTGCCTCAGCCTCCCGAGTAGCTGGGACTACAGGCGCCCACAACCGCGCCCGGCTAATTTTTTGTATTTTTAGTAGAGACGGGGTTTCACCGTGGTCTCGATCTCCTGACCTTGTGATCCGCCCTCCTCGGCCTCCCAAAGTGCTGGGATTACAGGCGTGAGCCACCGCGCCCGGCCCAGGACGTTCCTTTGTACCGCAAGTGTGTGGTGGAGAAGAATACAAAGACTAATAGTACTGTACTGTTTGGGTATCACCACCCTGACTCAGGCAAAGGTTCCAATAGCTTTATCCATCTTTGCTGTTTGTACTATCAGTGCATGTATCAATGCAATGAAAAAAGCAAATAATGTCCTAATTTGTATTATGAAAATAGTTTTGATCTCATTGACCCTCTGAAGGGATCCACAGACTAAGCTTTGAGAACCACTGCATAATATACTGTCAATCACTTTACTTTTTTCATTTTATAATATAACTTGGAAATCTTTCCACTTTGGCACAGAGGGAGCTCCTTCACTCTTTGTGGAATGGAAGGTGTGTAATATTCCATTATCAGAGATGGATCATAATAAATTAGTTCATTACTGGTGGCCACTTGGCTTATTTTTCATCCTTTGGTATCGTAACAGTTAACAACTTTGTGTAAATGCAATTTCATACACAGGAGAGGCCTGTATATGTAGAGTATGTCCATGACTATACATATATGTAGAATTAGTTACCAGAAGTCAAAGTGCTATTTCCTCCCTCCACTCTATCGAGTTCTCTGAGATTTAGGTCTCTCTGAGGATACTGTGGGTCACAGTGATTCTCGTTATGTCAGAATCCCTGATTATATGCATACTTACGTCTGCCATGCTAAATCAAGTACCATTCTTCTATCCCCTTCTGTTTTCCAGAAATTTACTGCACTCTCTCTCTCACTGAATAGAATAAGAATAATCTATGCTTGGCCAGGCATGGTGGCTCACACCTGTAATCCCAGCGCTTTGGGAGGCTGAGATGGGAGGATCGCTTGAGGCCATGAGTTCAAGACCAGCCTGGTCAACGTAGTGAGACCCCATCTCTAAAGCACAAAAAAAAAGAAAAGAAAAAGAAAAAAAAAAAGAATAATCTAATCTTATTTCATGTGTTTGTGTGGACTTGTACCTTTGTCATTCCTTTAATATGATCTTAGTAAGGTCTCAGGATCGGGGAAAAAGTAAATAATATGTAAATAATCTGCTACAACTGGTGGGATTTCATTTTTTTAATAAGTTCTTCCTCAATTCTTAAAACTAATTATACTTTATAAGTATATGTATCTATACACATGTATACTTAACATATATAAATAAAATATATAAATATATACATATACTATATTATCAAGTTAAACTTAAATATCATTTAAATTATCAATTATAAAACTTTTTTATTCAGTTTTGTGCATTTCCAGTATACACACATGTAAGAGACTAACTATGCCATGGAAAGTAACAGTCTTCCAATAACAATAAAAATTTTTTTTAAAGGAGAAGAAAAAGAATTAAGCAAGAAAAAAGCTACAAACTTACCTTGGAGAACCATGTACATTTGTGCCTGAGCTGGCAGTAGATGTAAGATTCTGCTCTATGCGCTGATAATTCCTTATTTGAGTAGGTACTGGAATTGGTGCTGTTTCACTGTGAGGTGACACGGTAGGCTGACACTGCCTGAAATCACAATTTATTGAAAAAGGAAAGAAACAGTGGTAGGACGGTTTTTCTTTCATTTGACCCATTAGTTATATTTAGAGAAAAGTCTAGAAAGAGCCAAATGGTCACTCCACTACCTTAATAAGAAATGATCTTGTTAAAAAATATATAAAGCCAAAAAACTCACATTTATTATCTAAAAAACTCCTGGCATTCATATGCATATTGAGGACTAAGAATTACAACAACCTGGAAAAAAGTTCCTTTACAACAACAAGAAAAGTCCACAGGTCAGGCCGGGCGCGGTGGCTCAAGCCTGTAATCCCAGCACTTTGGGAGGCCGAGACGGGCGGATCACTAGGTCAGGAGATCGAGACCATCCTGGCTAACACGGTGAAACCCCGTCTCTACTAAAAAATACAAAAAACTAGCCGGGCGAGGTGGCGGGCGCCTGTAGTCCCAGCTACTCGGGAGGCTGAGACAGGAGAATGGCCCGAACCCGGGAGGCGGAGCTTGCAGTGAGCTGAGATCCGGCCACTGCACTCCAGCCTGGGCGACAGAGCGAGACTCCGTCTCAAAAAAAAAAAAAAAAAAAAAAAGTCCACAGGTCAGCAAAACTGTCTCATCCACTCACATTCTGCTATTCATTACTATGTGAGAGAAAAAATATCTAGGAAAATATGCCGGGGAAAAGAACAGGAAGTTCAACAGCAAAGATGACTGGAATGTTTGCAAAAGTCATGAATGCTGTAAGCATTCCCAAAGAGCTCTGACTTTATGAAGAAGGAGAACACATTGTGCAAATTCTCAAAGCATGCAACTCATCTGACGTCCACATTTTGTAGTGTCAGTCTTTGGTTTCTTTAATAGCCTCTTTCCTCACTTTTCATAAATTCAGAAATAGAATGTTCTCATACCACTTTCAATTCACTTTACAATATATCCTAAAACATATCAGAGATAACACTGGGCCCTAAGAGAGATTACTTATTTCAAAGTAAAAAGAAATACAAAATACTTCTGTAGTGGAGATGTTAGCTGCTTTCCCAATATCCATTCAGCTTTTATGTCTTACTAAAAAATAACTTAAATTTTATTAGTAGCAATAATATGCCCAATTAATTGTAGCATATCCCAGACTCCCCTGCAGCCAAGGATAGCCATATGTCTTTTTTGGTCACTGAGATATAAACAGAAGTCTTCTACTCATTCTTCCTGCTCAAAATGTGAGCATACTTGCTGGAGCTTCAGCAGGTACCTTTGAACCACAAAAAAAAGGGCAAAAGACCTGAAGACATATAACTTCCTTGAGCCACAGAAACCAAGGAAACAACTACTTACCTTGACTTTTTTTCATGTGAGAAAACCTTTAGCGTTCAACCACACTAGAGTTAGGACCCTGTGGTTTACAGCCAAGTGGAATTCCTAATGATACACCATTTAGTGTGTTTCTATGAGCTCTCTCTACACATTTTGATTTAGGTATTTCCATTTAGTATCTTTAAATACAATAATGAATTTTTTAATATCTATACATCTGATTCTTCAGTTTATCTACACCCTAAAAACAAACAAAAGCCCCAAAACACAAACCCTCTACTACCACTAAAACAGCTTAACAGTACTTCACTAATCAGCTCTGATGTCTGCAAGCCAGTGCACTCACAGGTCTGACAACCCAAGTTCCTTAACAACAGAATAACAACACAGCCATCAAATATCAGAATGTGAATGAACAAATGCCATTTTTCTATTGTTTCAATTTAGTAAGTAAACAGTGTTTCTGAAGCATTCATTCCCTGCTGAAGCACATCAGGGAATTTTTTTTTTAAATACACATTACCAAGCTCTAAAATTTTTCCTGTACTGGTTAATCTCCAAAGGGAAGAAGCTAAATAAAGGTACTCAAAGAAGTAAACTTAGCAACCTCATAATTCTAAGCACCTCTCTCAGGTAATCTCAGCTGGCTTCTCTAACACCTCTGGTTCCTCCCACCACCAGCATGAGGACATGAACAACCATGGACCACGTTCTGCAAATGTTATCTCAGATAGTCTCTGGACAGGACCTGCAAGCAGACTTGCTCAGAGTTTAGAAAGTCTTCCCTGGACAAATTCCAGACCTCCAGCTAGTTAAGACAACTGCAGCCATTTTCCTGTACAAGTTAGTATTAACACCAATATTTAACCATCACTCAACTCCCTGAGTCCAAGGTAAGGAGACGGAAAGTCTATGTATGTCCTGAGTCTCCAGCACATCTTCCTCACCTCCACTAGGGCCTGCAATTCACAACATTCTCTGTGTGAAACGTCATCTTGGACCCGTATGAAATACTTGAAAGATGAGGCAGCCTGGACACACGGTAGCACAATCACATGTTATTCTACTTGTGCTGAGAGGAAAGCACAAATGCAGAAGGACAAATAAACACTAGGTGATAGCATGATAACTTCCTCAAATTCACAATCTTCACATCAGGAGATCCCTAGTTGCGTCTTTGTTTCAGAAGACTCCATGAGTAAACCCTGAAAGGCTGACAAGTAATCAGGAAAGCAAGGGTTCAGCTGGAAGTAATATCAAGGGACACAAGGAGAGAAGAAGGAAGGATCTATGCATATAAGAGCTTCTGTGAAACACAATCTAGCAGACTAATGCTAAGCCACAGCTGTGAGCTCACACTCATGAGGCTGTGTAAGTGATGGGGAGCCAAGTGGAGATAACCTGCTCATTACCCAGAGGCCAAAGCAGCATCAGAAAAGAGCCTCGTCTGGCACACAGGCACACAGCTGGCAAGGTTCCAATGAGAAAGGAGTTACTTCATGTAAAGGGAAGCAATCAGAAAGTTAGAAATCCACTCAGATGGTACACTCTAATGCACCATGGGCTGTGTACACAGCTGGCCTCCATCAATGTCTGGCAACAACCAGTTTTCAGAATTCTGATATCCTAATTCCCATGCCTGTGCCTATTTTTTGTCTGGATGCGCAAGGAATAGATATTCCTTACGTGTACTGAAAACTGCCATGTAGCTAATGGAGGCACTGTTACTAGGAAGTGCTGCTTTAGAGAAAAATGCATAATCACTGGCAAAGGAAAGTTCAAGAATTAGACCATAGGAAGAGAAGCCAAAAAGGAGCCAAAGATGACTCAAGAAGAAAAAAAGGCAGCAAATCAAAAGAAGTGAAAATCTGGCAATATACAATTCCCGTATTTAAATTCCCATATCCTCAAAGAAAGGAAAGAAACAAGTTTGTACAAGATTTGCTTATCCCCATGGTTCCCAAACTGTGCACTGAGGGACCCCAAGGTACTGGTGCTACTCAAGGGGTGCCTTAGAGTACATCAAATTGTTTAAAGTTTGGGAGGCTGAGGCAGGTGGATCACGAGGTCAGGAGTTCGAGACAGGCCTGACCAACATGGCAAAACGCCGTCTCTACTAAAAATACAAAAAATTAGCCAGGCGTGGTGGCAGGCACCTGTAATCCCAGCTACCCTGGAGGCTGACGCAGGAGACTTGCTTGAACCTGGGAGGCGGAGGCTGCAGTGAGCCAAAATCGCACCACTGCACTCCAGCCTGAGTGAGCAAGAGCGAAACTCCATCTCAAAAAAAAAAAAAGATACTCTTGCATATACAGTGAAATGATCTCAGACAAGAATGCTAAGACCACACAATGGGACAGGGACAATCTCTTCAGCAAATAGTGCTGGGAAAACTGGATATCCACATGCAAAAGAGTAAAGCTGGAATCTTATCATACACCATATACAAAAATTAACTCAAAGGGGATTAAAGGCCTGAACATTATACCCAAAACTATAAAGCTCCTAGAAGAAAACATAGAGGGAAAACTTAATGACATTAAGAGTAGGCAATGATTTCTTGAATACGATGCCAAAAGCACAGGCAACAAAACAAAAAATAGACAAATATGACCTCCTCAAACTTAAAAAAACTTTCATGTATCAAAGGACACAAAGAGTCAAAACACAACCAACAGAATGGGAATAAATATTTGCAAATCATACCTGACAAGAGGCTAACATCCAAAATATAGAGAGAACTCTTAAAACCCAACAATAAAAACCCAAATAACTCAATTTTAAAATAAGCAAAGATCTTGACTGGACATTTCTCCAAAGACGACATACAAATGGCTAAGACATATAAGAAAAGATGCTCAATCAACATCACTAATCATTAGAGAAGTGCAAATCAAAATCACAATGATAACCTCACGCTCATTAATTAGGATGGCTACTATCAAAAAAATTGGAAATAACAAATGCTGGTGAGAATGTGGAAAAACAGGAACCCCTGTGCACTGTTGGTGGGATTGTAAAATGGCACAACCGCTATGGAAAATTTAGCCAATTCCTTAAAAAATTAAACACAAAATTACCATATGAGCCAGCAATCTCACTTCTCGGTACATATCCAAAGGTACTAAAAGCAGGATCTTAAGGAGATATTTGCACACTCATGTTCATAACAGCATGCACAATAGCAAAGAGGTTGAAGCAACCCAAATGTTCATCAATAGATGAATGGAGAGACAAAATGCAGCATATACACACCATGGAATATAATTCGGCTATAAAAAGGGAAGAGGCCAGTCACATGCCACAACATGAATTAACCTTACAGTCATTATGCTAAGTGAAATAAGCCAAGTCACAAAAAAGACAAATGCTATATGGTTTCGCTTACATGAGGTATCTAAAGTAGTCAAATTTATAGAAATAGAGAGCAGAATGTGGTTATTATCAGGGCCTTGAGGGGTAGGGGAAATGGGGAGGTAATGTTTAATGAGTACAGAGTTTCATATTTGCAAAACGAAAAAGTCCTAGAAATTAGTTGCATAACAATATGAACATATTTAACACTAATGAACTATAAACATGAAAATGGCTGAAATAGTAGATTTTATGTGTTTTTTATCACAATTAAAATTTCAGGCCGGGCGCAGTGGTTCACACCTGTAATCCCAGCACTTTGGGAGGCTGAGGCGGGCGGATTACCTAAGGTCAGGAGTGTCAGACCAGCCTGGCCAACATGGTGAAACCCCATCTCTACTAAAGATACAAAAAATTAGCCGGGCACAGTGGTGCATACCTGTAATTCCATCTACTCAGGAGGCTGAAGCAGAAGAATCACTTTAACCCGGGAGGTAGAGGTTTCAGTGAGCCGAGATCCCGCCACTGCACTCCAGCCTGGATGACAGGACGAGACTCCGTCTCAAAAAAAAAAAAAAAAAAAAAAATTAGCAGGGCGTGGTGGCACATGCCTGTAATCCCAGCTACTCAGGAGGCTGAGACAGGAGAATCGCTTGAACCCAGGAGGTGGAGGTTGTAGTGAGCCAATATCCCACCAACGCACTCCAGTCTGGGCCACAGAGCAAGACTCCATCTCAAAGAAAAAAATTACTAAATGAAATTTCAAGAAAAGACATAATGAGGCTGGGTGCGGTGGCTCACGCCTGTAATCCCAACACTTTGGGAGGCTGAGGCGGGTGGATCATGAGGTCAGGAGATCGAGACCACCCTGGCTAACACAGTGAAACCCTGTCTCTATTAAAAACACAAAAAGTTAGCCGGGCGTGGTGGCAGGTGCCTACAGTCCCAGCTACTCGGGAGGCTGAGGCAGGAGAATAGCGTGAACCCGGAGGCGGGGCTTGCAGTGAGCTGAAATCGCACTACTGCATTCCAGTCTGGGCAACAGAGCCAGACTCCGTCTCAAAAAAAAAAAATAATGGACTGTAAAACAAAATAAACCTTAAATCAAGAACACTAAGTTCTATAACCTTACCCACAAAAATAAAATATGAAAAATATTTTAATAAGACAATGTAAATATACATACCCTCCACACACCAAGAACTCATTTGAAGCACGCCTGCCAGCAGTCCCCAATGGCATATCATCTAAAGGAGAAAAAAGTACAGTCAGTTCCTGTTATACCATCTGCTTAAAAAAACACAAATTTGTTTCAACATGATTATTAGGTTTTCATGCATAATGCAAAATTACCATTGGCTTATGTTATGATTTCATCTATAAGAAATAATAGATGACCTCAGAAAACTACACCTAGCTGAAGACATAGGCTGCAACTCTTTGGATGTCCACTTCTATAAGCAAATTTGAGGTCTTCTTCAAAATAAAATGTCATATTTATTGCAGTGTTTACATACTTCTTCACCATTAAACATGCAAAAACTGTGCTACTGTTTTTATCAGGTTCCATTTTCTGTGTCAATGACAAAGGTTCTGACAGTTGTGCCCTTAATACCATTTTGCACATAAGTTTATTGCAAAATTTTGCAAAGAACATGTATATAACATAATAGAAGAACTGACCATAAAACAGAGTCTAGTTCAATAAAATGTCGGATTACTCCATCCTCCTGCATAACACTCTCTCAGGTCTTGCATGGGTTGTTGAACAACATGTCATAGAAGGCCAGATGTGGTAGTTCATGCCTGAAATCCCATCATTTAGAGAGGCAGGGGCGGGAGAACAGCTTGAGCCCAGGAGTTTGAGACCTGCCTGGGCAACACAGCAAGACCCCATTCTCAAAAAAAAAAAAAAAACAAAAAAACACAATAATGTCAGGTAGCAATAACCTTTATAAAGGAAAATAAATCAGGGTAAGGTGACAAAGAGTAGCAGGGCAAAGGGGAAGTCCATTTTTATTTAAAGACAATGAATACTTGCCTATAGGAGAATTCAGAAAACAGGGAGAGGAGGCAGGGATAGAAGCTAGACTTCACTAAGTGTATTTTCTTTCATAGCTTTGAGTTTGAAACCATACATAATTTTCAAACGAAATTAAATCAAAAGAAAATAAAATCCCTAAAAATCAAAAGTAAAAGAATCTAATCATGTAGCAACCTGATAGCTTAATCACGAGAGGGAAATTATTTCAAGTAACTTTTTTTTTTTAAATTTATGTATTTTTGAGACAGGAGCATGATCTTGGCTCACTGCAACCTCCGCCTCCAAGGTTCAAGCAATTCTCCTGCCTCAGTCTCCTAAGTAGCTGGGATTACAGGTGTGTGCCACCACACCCAGCTAATTTTTGTATTTTTAGTAGAGACGGGGTTTCCCCATGTTGGCTAGGCTGGTCTCGAACTCCTGACCTCAAGTGATCTGCCCACCTTGGCCTTCCAAAGTGCTGAGATTACAGACATGAGCCACTGAACCCGGCCTCAAGTAACTTTGATACTCAATAATTTGATTGCATATACCCAGTGGGATTATCCTAAGGACAAAAAAGATTCACAAAAAGATCTTAAATGGCTTTCAATGACCACATTTAAAAAAATTTTAAGTCAGGACCAATAAATAATCATATTTTAAGTAATATTCATAGAGTTTTGATACCATATTGTAATTCTGAAACTATAGAGGCAACGGGAAGGACAGAAAAGAGAAGAGCCTAAACTCACAAGGATCAAAAAAAACCCAGAAAAGTCCACAGCCACCAAAATTTGGAAGGTATAAAGTTGATGGACGAGTAGTATTTGACTTAGCTGACCCAAGAAGATAGAACCTTAGACAGCTGGAAAGCCCAGAAGTAAACCAATTTACATCACAGAACTCCAAAATGCTGAGTAATCAGCAGTACCAGATACCTTTCAGAGTGGCACTGAAGGTAGGACTAAAAGCAGGATTGACTAAAAGTCTGTTTAGAAGCAGTCAGAATATAGTTCATCATAGTGTATCATACTCAGGATTTTTGGTAAGTGAATAGATTACAGCTGCTCATGGAGCGGGTGTGGGTAACTATGTGAGTTGATGAATACATTAATTTATTTCACTCTAGTAACCATTTTACTATAGACAGATGCCCCTCAACCTAAGATGGTGTCGCTTTTGAATAAACCCATTGTAGGTTGAAATTGTCCTGAGCCAAAACGCATTTAATACACCTAACCTACCGAACATCATGGCTAAGCCCAGCTACCTTAAACACGCTCAGAATACTTACACTAGCCTACAATTGGGCACACAAAGCCTGTTTTATAAAGTGTTGAATATCTCCAGCATCAGCTGTTTACTCTGGTGATCGCGGGCTGACTAGGAGCTGCAGCTCACTGCTTCCACCCAGCATCACAAGAGAGTTCTGTACCGCATATTGCTAATACAGAAAAATATCAAAATTCAAAATTTAAGGGATGGTTTCTACTGAATGTAAATCATTTTCCTATTCACGTAAAGTCAAAAAATTGTAAGCCATTTGTATATCTCATAATATCATGTTGCATAGCTGAAACATACATAATACAACGTATTTTTTTTATACAGAATTCTTTTTAAAAGAAGCAGTTAGAATTTTATATCCTTTCCCCAGCTTTATGCAGGTAGGCAATGCCCATCTCCCACTGTACATTCACACTTGGGACAGAGTAAAACAGAGGGTCTCTGGACTGCAGAACAGCAGGAAAAATTAAAAGCAAGGGTACTACACTGACAAAAGACTAGTGGAAAAAAGTTATTAAATGAAATTTTACACTGACTATTGAGAACTCCATACTTCTTCCCCCATTTTGCAAATCCATATAGTATCAGGTTCTCTTTAGGCAAAATATTGGATGAGTCTTTTGGGGGATCTGAGTAGCCCTCCAAAAGGGAAATAGTCCCAAGAATTGCCCCCGCCATATCATTCATCAAAGAGGCTTGCTGTCAATGAGACGTTCCCATGTACAGAGCTCTCAAACAACTTTCAAATTCTCCATCCTCAAGAAGCATACAACAATATACTGCATGTTGAAATAAGAACAATACTCAGAGAAAAAACTTCTGAAAATTTAAAACATGAGGGCATAAAATGAAAACTCCCTACAAGGGTAAGAAGAAACATTAATGAAATTAAATTAGAGCAATAAGACAAAAAGATGGAAAATCAGACCAACAAAAGATAAAAATCAGCTGGGCACTCAGGTATTTGTTATACATTACTTTTAAACTGTATAGCTGTTTTAAACATCTTATATGTATGATACGTTTCACAATGGCACATTTTTAATCATTAAAAAGAAGGGCGAGATCAACTGTAACAAGTGTGGATACATCAGGACAATGAGGAATGAGAACTGACCCCTAGGATTTGGCAGCAGGAAGATCTTGACAGGAGCAGTTCTGAAACATTTACACCAGCACACACAAGAAAAAAGACAACTAGAATAAAACAAAAGATGTGAATGCTCTTTATATAGAAAAGTATAAAAATGTATCAAAACACATTAAAGAAACCTAAATAAGTGGAGAAATACACATTCGTAATTAGGTGACTTAATATTGTAAAGAACCTACCTGTCCTTGAATAGGTCATACTATACAGTCAATCCAATTCCCATCAAAATGCCAAAATGGTTTTCATAAAATTATCGAGCCGAAATTAAACTATATGTTGGGGGAAAGGGCCAAGAATAGCCAGAATGATTTTGAAGAACACTGAAATGCTCTCTGCTCTCTGCCCCTCCTTCCCTCCCTGACCACACACACATACTGACACACACAAATTTAAAAATTATTATAATATAGACAAAAAAAAGAAACCCCATCCTGTATTTCAAGCTGACATGACAAACGTGACATGACAAACGTGACACTGCATATCAGTGGAGAAAAGACAAATATTTAATAAATAGGACAACTGACCGATCTCTACCTTGCTCCATCTACAAAAATGAATTACAGGTAAAATTATATGTGAAAAAAAATCTTTAGAAGAAAATATAGAACACCATCATAACACTAGGGCTGCATGAAAAAGAATATTAGTACAAGTTGTTTGTACCAATATATTACAAAGTTGTAGATATCTAAGTTTTCAGTTAGAAGAAGTTCTGGGACATGTACACAAGAATGTCTGTTATAATATATATATATTTTTTGAGACAGGGTCTTGCTCTGTTGCCCAGGCTGGAGTGCAGTGGCACAATCATGGCTCACTGCAGCCTCAAACTCCCAAGCTGAGACTACAGGCATGCACCACCACACCCAGCTTTCTATTTTTGGTAAAGATGGGGTCTTGCCATGATGCCCGGCTGGTCTTGAAATTGGGGGTTCATGCGATCCTCCCACTTCAGCCCCCAGAGAAGCTCTGATTACAGGTGTGCACCACCACGCCTGGCTAACTTTTTTATTTCTGTAGAGAAAAAATCTCACTATGTTGCCCAGACTGGTTTCAAATTCCTGGGTTCAAGCAATCCTTCCTCCTCAGCCTCCTAAACTACTGGGATTACAGGTTGTGAACCACAATGCCTGGCTCATTACATTTTGGATAGTGAAAAGGTAGAAATAACCCAGCTATAAATCAGTAGGGAGGCCGGGCACTGTGGCTCAAGCCTGTAATCCCAGCACTTTGGGAGGCCGAGACGGGCGGATCACGAGGTCAGGAGATCGAGACCATCCTGGCTAACATGGTGAAACCCCGTCTCTACTAAAAAATACAAAAAACTAGCTGGGCAAGGTGGCGGGCGCCTGTAGTCCCAGCTACACGGGAGGCTGAGGCAGGAGAATGGCGTGAACCCGGGAGGCGGAGCTTGCAGTGAACTGAGATCCGGCCACTGCACTCCAGCCCGGGCGACAGAGCAAGACTCCGTCTCAAAAAAAAAAAAACCAAAAAAAAAAAAAAAAAAAAAACAAATAAATCAGTAGGGAAATGGATAAACTGTGTTTTAGTTATATTATACAATTATACAATTCAGATATTAGAATGAATTTCGAATTTTAGAATATTTACATTATACTGAGCATTCCAAATGCAAAAATCTAAAATCTGAAATGCTTCAGTGAGCATTTCCATTGAGCATCATGCTGGCACTCTAAAAGTTTCAGATTTGGGGGCATTTCAGATTTTCTAATTTGGCAGGCTCAACCTGTAACTGTAAAAACACAAAAATCTTTTTTTTTTTTTTTTTTTTTGTTGTTGTTGAGACGGAGTCTCGCTCTGTCACCCAGGCTGGAGTACAGTGGCCGGATCTCAGCTCACTGCAAGCTCTGTCTCCCAGGTTTATGCCATTCTCCTGCCTCAGCCTCCCGAGTAGCTGGGACTACAGGCGCCCGCCACCTCGCCCGGCTAGTTTTTTTTGTATTTTTAGTAGAGACGGGGTTTCACCGTGTTAGCCAGGATGGTCTCGATCTCCTGACCTCGTAATCCGCCCGTCTCAGCCTCCCAAAGTGCTGGGATTACAGGCTTGAGCCACCGCGCCTGGCCACAAAAATCTTAAGTATAGATACAATTATATGTAGAAATACAAAATCTACAGGAAGAATATACCCCTAGCAAGAGCAGAAAGAGAAAAGGCACTTTAGCTGTACTTACAGCATTTTTTTGTTTTGTTTGTTTTTTGAGACAGAGTCACTCTCTGTCAGCCAGGTTGGAGTGCAATGGCACAATCTCGGTTCACTGCAACCTCTGCCTGCCAGGGACCCCAGTGCTCCTGGAGGAGGTTCAAGCAATTCTCCAGCCTCAGCCTCCTAAGTAGCTGGGATTACAGGTGTGCGCCACCATGCCTGGCTAATATTTGTATTTTTAGTAGAGACGGGGTTTCACCATGTTGGTCAGGCTGGTCTCAAACTCCTGACCTCATGATCCGCCCACCTCAGCCTCCCAAAGTGGTGGGATTACAGGCATGAGCCACTGCGTAGGCGACTTACAGCATTTTATGTATTTTAAAAAGACATCTAAGACAAATATGGCAAAATACTGACCTATATAAAAGTAACACAGCCTAGTGGGTACCTTGAGTATATGCTCTATTATTTTGTTTAAAATGTTTCATGATTTTAAAAGTTTTAATTACTTTTGGTAAAGAAATAAAACCACTGTACTAGATGACTTTTAAAGGTAACTCTCAGTTCTCATAATGCTGGTTATAAACTGCCACAGCACTGCTGCTGTGGTCCATGTTTTCCCTTCCGCAGCCAGCTAATACTTAATTACATTCAGTCTAGGGATTACGGTCTTCACAACAACTAGCAAAGTGCCTAGAATGAGCATCTACTAAATAAGTACTCATTCACTGGTTTCTCTGTTTCTGTTTGGATACAAACAGAATTTGAGATCATTTCCTATAAAGTTTTCATGTACCTTCAGAATCCAAACTTACTGTTTAATAGAAGATGATTGAGCAAATTTTAGAAAGGTAGGAATATAATTCTGAGAATTTAAACAACTAAATAAAATGCTCATTTGAAAAGGTGCCCTACGCAAGAAAGTGTAATATACGGGTTTAAAAAAAGATGCTAGTTTAGTAGATTAAATAATATAATGTGTACAAGTAGAAAAGATTCTCACATGAGTGGTCTGACGAGATGTTGTGTGGCACCAAAACAAAGTCATCCGTGTCACAAGAAGAATTCTTGCTACTAGTACTGGCAGAATCTTTGGAAACTTGTAGATAGTTGGGAGGACCCAATGGTGGGGAAGATAAGTTTTCTTCCTGAATATGCTGCATATCTGGAAGGGACTAAAATTAACAACATAAAATTAAAACTGGCCTAATAATCAAATACAAGTCAGAATAGTGACTAGACTAAGGAAAATTTTTTTTTTTTTTTTTTTTTTTTGTGATGGAATCTCGCTCTGTTGCCCAGGCTGGAGTGCAGTGGCATGAACTTGGCTCACTGCAAGCTCCGCCTCCCAGGCTCACGCCATTCTCCTGCCTCAGTCTCCCAAGTAGCTGGGACTACAGGGACCCGCCAACATGCTCGACTAATTTTTTCTATATTTTAGTAGAGACGGGGTTTCACCATGTTAGCCAGGATGGTCTTGATCTCCTGACCTCGTGATCTACCTGCCTCAGCCTTCCAAAGTGCTGGGATTACAGGCATGAGCCACTGTGCCCGGCCTAGACTAAGGAATTTTTTTCCCCCCCCACAAAAGTGGGCATAAAGTCCAATTCCATCTAAGGTTTCAAAAAATCTCTCTGGAAAAGCTTTCCTTTAGAAAACCTTTCTTTTAAAAGTGTTTGCATAAAGACTTCTAAAATGTCTTCCAAAAATGATACTTAAAAATATATCATAACACTTATCCACATGTACTTGCCTCCCTCTCCTGAAGTTTCTGAGAAAGTGAATTTTTATCATCACAGCATCCTCCAGTTCTAGCTCATGGCCTAACAAAGCAGATACTTAATAACTCTACACTTAATGACTAAACACAAAATGTCCAGAGACTTTAAATTAATGACATCTTACACACACAAAAGTTTTAAATATATAATGAAGAAAAATTACAAGGAGGAAACCAAGAGACCACATTATGTTAAAAAGTAGACAAATCAGGAAGGGTGCCTGCACTTAAGACCAGAAATATATTTATAGACTTGGAAAACTTTACAGGTGTGCGTGTGTTCCTCTTGTTTTTGTTTTATCAGGGGTAGTAGTTGGTTTGTTAGTAGGAGATAGAATAGGAAGAGAAGAAAACCATGTAAATATATTTAAACAAATACTTAGAGCTAACTAGCTACGTATCTTTTGTCATTTATCTAGTTCAAGGACCCTAGTTGACAACTCATTGAATATCTTGACTATACAATGGTTTTCTACAACAATGAACTTCACAGCTTATTGTGTTAAGCCCCTATTAACCTGTTTCATCTTTGCCTTTATTTAAGGAAAGGAAAAATACTGTATCATCCTCTTTAAACCCAAGCCTTAAATACCTGGTTCACTGCTGCTGCTCCTCTGAATGTCACTGTGCCAGGGTATCAGTCACTGATACCAGTTATTTTCATGTGTGTGACATGCACTTGACACAATCTCTCCTTATCACTTTTTGAAGAGACTTTGTATCTCAAAGTAATGAAGGGAAGGGAAGATGAAAGAACTAGCACTACTAAGCCTCAACCATGGGCTAGGCACTGTTAAGAGCTTTCCATGTTATCTAACTTTAGACCTACTGTGAACTCCATTTCACATATAAATAAACAAAGTTCAGACAGGTAATTTGCCCTAGATCACACAACTAAAAAGGAGTCAAGCTGAGATGTGATTCTAAGTATCTAACTCCACAATTTCTTTCCAGTGGTTTAGGCAGGAACTTTCCCAGTTTCTTCTCCCGCTATTTACAAAATTACCTGCATCTACAATCACCCTGGTCGTTCTTCCTCATAACAGTGGAAGAGATGCTTCTCTTCCATGGGAGCTTCTCTCTCCACCTGTGCTCTGCATTCCATGCTCCTCTACGTCCCCAGTAACCTAGAACAACTCCCCTTGGCTCCTGACATTTTCACACTCTCCCTTTATTATGGCATTTTTCCCCTCTGTAGATAACCATGTTTAACTTTCTCACATCTCAAATCCCTACAACCCTCTCAAATTACCATCTCTTCTCCATTTCTTTTTTTTGAGATGGAGTCTCAGTGTGTCACCCGGACTGGAGTGCAGTGGCATGATCTCAGCTCACTGCAACCTCTGCCACCCAGGTTCAAGTGATTCTCCTGCCTCAGCCTCCCGAGTAGCTGGGATTACAAGTATCTGCCACCATGCCTGGCTAATTTTTGTAGTTTTAGTAGAGACGGGGTTTCACTATCTTGGCCAGGCTGGTCTTGAACTCCTGACCTCATGATCCACATGCCTCAGCCTCCCAAAGTGTTGGGATTACAGGTGTGAGCCTGTAAACATTTCTTGAAATTATCTTCACTGACTCAAATTTGTCATATCCTATATATTCCTTAATTCAACATAACCCACTCTGTCTTCAATCCTTGAATAAAATTGCCTTTACTAAGATTATCAATAATTTCTATTGCCAAGTCCAGCAGGTATTTCCCATACTCCTTAAGGTACTTGAACTTTCTGCTCCATCTGTACTGTGGACCATTCTTCTCAACACTCTGCCCCTTCATTCAGTGACCCTGCAATGTCTTGTTTTTCCTCCTATTTCTTGGGGACTCCTTCTGAGTCTCTTTTGTGAGCACATACTTCTCATGTGCCCCTCAAAAAGGAGGAGCAGAAGAGTACAGAGTTCCCCATGAGCCACCCTGGGCTCCTCACGCTTCAGTTGTTGTATTTATCCGAGCGACCATGCTCACCGTCCCTCCTACCTTTAACTACCACTCACAGAATGATGGTTCCCACTTTTTGATCTCCAGCCACGATTCTCTCTGACGAGCTCTAGATCCGTTTGTTCACTTGCCTATACAACACATCCATGCCTATATGTTAACTCTCACCTTTATATTCCAAAGCACTGCTCCCCAAGTTCCCTCAGAGTGACCTTGCCAGTCAGCCATTGTCACTAGCAAAGTCTCACTCTTCCTCAGGTCCCAAGTTCAAGCAATCTTCAAGATCTGTGCGCTCTTTGCCTTTCTCTTACCTGGCTCTTCTCCTTTCCTATTGCCGCCTTAGTTCAGGCTTTGTTCTCAAAACAATAATGACGTAAACAACAAAAATGATGATAAAAGGTGCAAGGGTCTCAAGGTGTTCTCTCTCCGCTAGTGGAGACCTCTGTATTTCCTCTCTCACTCCAACCTAGTCCTCCACCCTGCTTTTGGGAGAATCTAGCTAAAAAACACACTGGATCATAGCACTCTTCACTTTAAAATAATTCCAATGGCTCACCACACCTTTTTTTTTTTTTTTTTTTTTTTTGAGACAGAGTCTCACTCTATCACCAGGCTGGAGTGCAGTGGGGTGATCTCAGCTCACTGCAACCTCCGCCTCCCAGGTTCAACCGATTCTCCTGCCTCAGCCTCCCGAGTAGCTGGAACTACAGGCGCACCCCACCACGCCCAGCTTAATTTTTGTATTTTTAGTAGAAATGGGGTTTCACCATGTTGGCCAGAATGGTCTCAATCTCTTGACCTCGTGATCCACCAGCCTAGGCCTCCCAAAGTGCTGGGATTACAGGTGTGAGCCACCGGCCTGGTTCACTACAACTTTTGAGAATGCAGCTGAAATTCATTTGCTTGACCTCCAAATACTCCCAGGCCTCTGTCTACCTCTCTAGCTGTCTTTCCCCTTCACCCATCAACAATGCTCTCTACATCCACCAAACTGATCTACTGAGTGCAGCCTTGTCCTTTCTGCAATGATGGAAAAGGCCAATATTTGAGATATGCACCATGGGAGCCACCAACTAGCTAAGGCTACTAAGCACTTGAAATGTGGCTGGTGTGAATAAGAAAGTGAATTTTAAAATTCACTTAATTTTAACAAATGTAAATGTAAATAGCCATGGAGAGCTAGAGAGTTCCTTCAGTGGCTCATGCTTTTATGACTTCATGTACGGAAATTCTTCTGCTTACAATATCATTCTTTCACTAATTGATCTAGCAAACTTTCTTCAAAACTCAGCTCAAACAATCCCCTCTTCTGAGTAGCCTTCCTAAATCTTTAGCCTAATTTTGATGTTCCCCAATCATATTACCATAGGCAATGAAGATACATATACACATGCTTCTGGCAATGATTGAGCTACCTACCTCTTCTCCATACAATTAAATTAAAACCCCCTTAATGTCAGGGACCTGGTCATCTCATTCATTAGTATAAACCAGAACATCACACAAAGTAGGTAATCAATAAATGTTATAAAATGAATAAATAGGCTGGGCGAGGTGGCTCACACCTATAATCCTAGCACTCTGGGAGGCCGAGGCAGGCGGATCACCTGAAGTCAGGAGTTCGAGACCAGCCTGGCCAACATCGCGAAACCCTATCTCTACTAAAAAAATACAAAAATTACCTGGAAGTGGTGGCGCATGCCTGTAATCCCAGCTACTCAGGAGACTGAGACAGCAGAATTGCTTGAACCCGGGAGGCGGAGGTTGCAGTGGGCCGAGATCGCGCCACTGCACTCCAGCCTGGGTGACAGAGTGAGACTCTGTCTCAAATAAATAAATAAATAAATATTCAAGATTTACCATCTAAATAGCATTTAATCTCCAGTCAGTATCATAATTAAAAGAGTGATTTGGAGATTTTATTGTTTATAATTTTTTGTTTTGGGGGGGCCTAGAATTTTTCTGGAATAAAATAGCAGCTAGATATTTACATGAGAATGTAAAAACGACAATGCTATATCGCATGCCTGTGTATCTCAAGCCTCTGTATGAGTCTACACCAGTCCTAGAAAGAAGGAAAGGGATGCATATATGAAATCATCTTATTTTTGACACGTTATGTTAAATATAAGGTCTATAAAACCACCCCATTTTCCAATCCCAGTAACTGGAAACTAGATACAAAGATTTGTACTTTCCTTTTTTCCCGTTTTCTACTTTATTTCCATTTTCTAAAAAGGCTTCCTAAAATAGTGTTTATTGGTTGGTTGGTTGGTTGGTTGGCTTTTGAGACAGGGTCTCTCTGTCAGAGGCTCAAGCACCCAGCTAATTTTTAATTTTTTTGTAGAGATGGGATTTCACCATGTTGCCCAAGCTGGTCTCAAGCAATCCTCCCACCTTGGCCTTCCAAAGTGCTAGGATTACAGGTGTGAGCAAGCGCACCCAGCTGACCTTATCTGGTTGGTTTTTTTTGCTTTTTTTTTTCTTTTTTTTGAGACGAAGTCACAAAGTCTCACTCTGCAGTGGCACAATCTCAGCTCACTGCAACCTCCGCCTCCTCGGTTCAAGCGATTCTCCCACCTCAGCCTCCCAAGTAGCTGGGATTACAGGCGCGTACCACCACACCTGGCTAATTTTTGTATTTTTAGTAGAGACAAATTTTCACCGTGTTGGCCAGGCAGGTCCCAAACTCCTGATCTCAAGCGATTTACTCACCTCGGCCTCCGAAAGTGCTGGATTACAGGCATGAGCCACTGAGCCCGGCCCAACCTTATGTTTTAAAGAACTCTAATGAATAAGACATAAAAAGGATATGTTTATGCCAGTGACTTATTTTATTGTTTTTTTTTTTTTTTTTTTTTTGAGATGGAGTCTCACTGTTACCCAGGCTGCAGTGCAGTGGTGTGATCTCGGCTCACTGCAGCCTCTGCTTCCTGGGTTCAAGTGATTCTACTGCCTCAGCCTCCTGAGTATCTGGGATTACAGGTGCATGCCACCATGCCTGGCTACTTTTTGCATTTGAAAAAACACCGAGACAGGGTTTTGGCATGTTGGCCAGGCTGGTCTCAAACTCCTGACCTCAAGTGGTCCACCCGCCTCAGACTCCCAAAGTGCTGGAATTACGGGCATGAACCACCACACCCGGCCATTTTACTGTTTTTCGTTTGGTTTGTTTTTTTTATTGAGACAGAGTCTTGCTCTGTTGCCCAGGCTGGAGTGCAGTGGCGTAATCTTGGCTCACTGCAACCTCCACCTCCCAGGTTCAAGCAATTATCCTGCCTCAGTCTCCCGAGTAGCTGGGACTACAGCTACCACCACGCTTGGCTAATTTTTTGTGTTTTTAGTAGAGACGGGGTTTCACTATGTTAGCCAGGATGGTCCTGATCTCCTGATCCAGCCACCTCAGCCTCCCAAAGTGTTGGGATTACAGGCGTCGAGTCACCACGCCCCGATGGATTTTTTCTTTTTTTTTTTTTTTTTTTTTTTTTTAGTAGAGGCAGGTTCTTACTATATCGCCCAGGCTGGCCTTGAACTCCTGGGATCAAGCAATCCTCCCATTTCAGCCTCCCTTACAGCTGAGTCTACACTTATGCCCAGGCACACCTGGCTTTTTTTTTTTTTTTTTTTTTAAGTAGAGATGGCTAGTCTTGAACTCCTGGGATCAAACAGTCTTCCTGCCTCAGTAAAAATAGGTTTGTCCACCAGAGTTTCTAACACCTAAAAAAGTCCTTCTCTTTCTCCTGCCTCTCTTCACTCCTCCAGTTAGTTCTACATTCAGCTACTCCTTGGCAGCCCTAACCTGGCTGCTATTTTGTTCTCTTTCAACCAACAAAAACCCCAAAATGCTCTCTCCAGTCAAAGAAAATTTCCAGTTCAACGTCCTCCCTGCTGGCCTCTCATCCCTCAGTCACACTATCATCCCACAGGCTCCTTTATGTTTGGTCTCCCAAAATTAGATTCTTCCCTGTTGTTCTTTTCTCTAGCACAAGCTTTGCTTTTCATATTACATTGTGTCAAATATATGGTTCATAATAATGGCCACAATTTATTGAGAATTTGCCATGGCTAGGCACTTCCCACACATTACTACCAGGACCCTGCAAGCAAAGGTTAATCAAGCCTATGGTCCAGATGAGGACACCATGGCCCACCTCTCTAACTGACCGGCCCAAAGTCACTGACTGGGCAAGCAGCAGGGCTAGGATTGGTGCCAGCATGCCTGGCTCTTAATTTTTTTAGTTCACCAGAACGTAAGTCTTATTAACATAATCTGCTTTATCTACTTGGTATGAATTTGCAGGGCTGCATAAGAAACATTTATTGCCAGTTTTGAGACTTGTCTGTTTGCAACAGGCTACATCTGCATCTGCTTTACCTAACAGTTGCTACCTCCTGCATTATATACTATGTGTCAGACCCTGCATGCAGTAAGTGTTTGTACTCACTTATCCCTGAAGAACCCTACAAGGTAGGTAAATTACACTCACTTGATATAAAAAAAAAAGGTGCCCTAGTTAGTATAAGGTAAGGCACATGGAGGCTGCAAGTCTCATCCACTTAAACCTCTGAGTTGCCTCACTTTTATGGCTCCCTAACCTTTGTGCCAGAGGCATTCAAGAAATTGATGCCTGGGCCGGGTGCCGTGGCTCACACTTTGGGAGGCCAAGGTAGGCAGATCACTGGAGGTCAGGAGTTTGAGACCAGCCTGGCCAACATAGTGAAACCCCATCTCTACTAAAGATATAAAAAAGGTTGGGCGCGGTGGCTCACGCCTATAATCCCAGTACTTTTTTGGGAGGCCGAGGCGAGTAGATCACAAGGTCAGGAGTTCAACACCAGCCTGGCCAAGATGGTGAAACCCTGTCTCTACTAAAAATACAAAAATTAGCTGGGCGTGGTGGCACGTGCCTGTAATCCCTGCTACTCAGGAGACTGAGGCAGAGAACTGCTTGACCCCGGGAGGTGGAGGCTGCAGTAAGCCGAGATCGCACCACTGCACTCCAGCCTGGGCAATAGGGCGAGATTCTGTCTCAAAAAAAAAAAAAAAAAAAAGATACAAAAAATTAGCTGGGTGTGGTGGTGTGCACCCATAGTCCCTGCTACTTGGGAGGCTGAGGCTACAGAATCGCTTAAACCCAGGAGGCGGAGGTTGCAGTGAGCCAAGATGGCGCCACTACACTCCAGCCTGGGTGACAGAGCGAGACTCCATCTCAAAAAAAAAAAAAGAAAAAAAAAAAAACCTAAGAGGAGAGATAGGTAAAACCCTGGGAGAGTGGAGTAGGAAGAAGTGACAAGAGTGACCAGAAGGCCTCAGGATTAGGAAGAAGTACTGAAATGGGAGGGAACACAGCCATGAAGAAAATGCCTTGGGAGCTTCAGCAAAAGGAAGAGGTTTGAGTAGAAGCCACCTTAAAGTGCCAAAAATCATGATTAAGAGAATCTTAAGTCAGTGAAATCTGGCTCAGAGGTGACTCCTCCATCAGTAGAAATTCCACATACAAAAAAAATCCAAGCTCATGTCTATAGCATTCAGATAAAATAAATATTTATTGCCTATCCACCTGTAATGGGTACTCTTTGTAAGTATCATCACCAAAACACCATAGGGTATAAAAAGGTGATATTACTGTACTCACTGTTCAGAGGAAAATGGCCCAGAGAAGTGATATTTCTTTCTGGAGCTTACACAGTAACATATGGGCAGAGGTCCAAATACAGGTCCATTTGACCCAACTATAATGTTCTTTCTCCCAAACCTCAACTGCATTAGTAAACATTACACATAAAAAGAATATCCACAGTGTATGTTCATGCTCCATTTGAGAACAGATGTAATAGCACTAACTCTGAAACTATTTTTAATAAAACCAGAACTTACTGGTGGAGAAGCAAAACGACAAGATGGAGAGCTGCCACAGGAGCTTCCAGAGACAGAACCAGAATACACGGGCACTGGAACTGGGCAAGCTAGAGGAAGAAACACAAATGAACTACATCATTTTGTAGTGCAGTCACATGACCTGTATAATAGAAACACCTGCCAAAACCACTACACCTTTGTGTTCCCTGAAAATTTGCATTCACCTATTTATTACCACATCTGCTGATGAAACTAAAAATGCAGCAATTACTAAAACTATATCAACTTTGTTTCAGAAGGAAAAATAGAACAGTTATTCAACAAACACAATCGTAGGTATCTAAGAAAATCAGGCCAGGCACAGGGGTTCACTCCTATAATCCCAACACTTTGGGAGGCTGAGGCGGGAGGATCACTTGAGGTCAGGAGTTTGAGACCAGCCTGGCCAACATGGTGAAACCTCGTCTCTACTAAAAATACAAAAATTACCCAGGTGTGGTGGTACCCGCCTGTAATCCCAGTTACTCCGGAGGCTGAGGCAGGAGAATCACTTGAAACCAGGAGGCAGAGTTTGCACCACTGCACTCCAGCCTGGGTGACAGAGCAAGACTCCATTAAAAAAAAAAAAGTAAATTCAACGAAATTTTAAGAGGCACTATAAAAGATCAATTTTGTAATAAAAATAATTAATTTTTCCTAAAGCTTGCATTCATTCTTTAAGTGAAAATACAAAAAATGGGTACTCACATTTTTTTACTGGAACTTGCTCAAGAAAAGGATGGCTAAAAAATGCTTCTGTAACAAGAAATGAGAATGTAACCTTTAAAGAGACATTGACTAAAATATCAACCAGGTTATTTTTCTCAACGTATTCAACACAACGTCTTTGAGATCAGAATTTAACTTCTTTATACAGCCTCCATTTCCTTTAAATGTAAAAGCATATTTTTTATAAATCCTCTATAAAAACTATTTTTATAATCATATAAAATAATGAATCAACAAATTTTAAGTAATTATGCATTTTCAAAACATGTATCACCAACACAACATACTCTGATGCTACTTACACAGACATGTTCTCTAACATATGCCACCCCCCAGTGGACAGCTCCACAGGAGAACTGTGATCTCCAGGCCCGTGTAGAACCCATGTGAACTACAGCTGTTAATTGTCCTAAGAGGAAATTGAGGCAGCTGATTTATACAACAAACTATCCTTCGCCCCTAGATGTACTCCTAATGCTGGTTTCACATTAAAAAGAGAAAAAACTGGCTGGGCATGGTGGCTCAGCCAGCACTTCGGGAGGCTGAGGCGGGCAGATCACCTAAGGTCAGGCGATTGAGACCATCCTGGCTAACACGGTGAAATCCCGTCTCTACTAAAAATAGAAAAAATTAGCCAGGCGAGGTGGCGGGCGCCTGTAGTCCCAGCTGCTTGGGAGGCTGAGGCAGGAGAATGGCATGAATCCTGGAAGCGGAGCTTGCAGTGAGCCAAGATCGCCCCACTGCACTCCAGCCTGGGCAAGAGTGAGACTCCGTCTCAAAAAAAAAAAAAAAAAAAAAACTACAAAAATAATACATTCAATAGTTGTTTCACTATTGACAATAATTCTCATGGTTCAGAGCAACTCTCAACTTAACTTCTCCCTAATAGGTATAAATATTTCCAACTACATGAACTTAATTTTTATTCCAACTTTACAAAACATTAAGAAAATAGGTATTCAGACCATTTCAAATATTTTCCCTGACATGGAAACAATTACAGCTATCCTCTACTGAGTATTCGACATTCACTAAGACAATGAACTGGGTGCTTCACAAACCTTATCTGAGGAAATATATCCTCGTATCATGGGTAAGAAAATTAAAAGCACACGGCCGGGCGCGGTGGCTCAAGCCTGTAATCCCAGCACTTTGGGAGGCCGAGACGGGTGGATCATGAGGTCAGGAGATCGAAACCATCCTGGCTAACAGGGTGAAACCCCGTCTCTACTAAAAAATACAAAAAACTAGCCGGGCGTGGTGGCGGGCGCCTGTAGTCCCAGCTACTTGGGAGGCTGAGGCAGGAGAATGGCGTAAACCCGGGAGGCGGAGCTTGCAGTGAGCTGAGATCCGGCCACTGCACTCCAGCCTGGGCGACAGAGCAAGACTCCGTCTCAAAAAAAAAAAAAAAAGAAAAAGAAAATTAAAAGCACACAAAGACCATGTTTCTTGTCCAATGTCAAAGAGTTAGTAAGGTGAGGGACTAGAATTCAAATTCCAGTCCATCTTATTTAAATACCAATGTGGATTTCCAATTATACTATACATTAGCAAACCAAAATCCTGGAGTATATTTCCACAAATCTCTGTTAGTATCACAACTATTACTACAGGAAAAGTTACTTTTTTCCCTAAAAGCTACAAGATCAGGGTTAATTTGCTAAGTATTTTCATTAAACATGTCTTAATGATTTCTCTGGTCTGACATTTTCAAGTATTGCTGTTTTTACCTAAGATAAGAATTAGGTTGGGCAGGGCGTGGTGGCTCACGCCTATAATCCCAGCACTTTGGGAGGCGGAGGTGGGCGGATCAGCTGAGGTCGGGAGTTTGAGACCAGTCTGACCAACCTGGAGAAACCCCGACTCTACTAAAAATACAAAATCAGTGGGCATGGTGGCAAATGCCTGTAATCCCAGCTACTCACGAGGCTGAGGCAGGGGAATTGCTTGAACCTGGGAGGCAGAGGTTGCGGTGAGCCAAGATCCTGCCATTGCACTACAGCTTAGGCAACAAGGGAGAAACTCCGTCTCAAAAAAAAAAAGGCAACTTCCAAAAACTCTAAGACAAACTGATGAGACCCACACAGAGATACAGAATCAAACTTTTAAAAGACAGAGAGAATCTTGGAAACAGCAAGAGAGAAGCAACTTGTAATGTACAGGGATCCTTAATAAGAATATCACCCAATTTCCCATCAGAAATCTTGAGGCCAGAAGGCAGTGGGATATTATCTAAAGTGCTAAAAGAAAAAAAAAAAAGTAAACTGAGAATTCTACATTCCAAAAAACTGTCCTTCAAAACTCAGGAAGAAATTAAAATATCTCCAGAAAAACAAAAGCAGAGGGAATTCATTACTGTAACAAGACCTCCCCTATAAGAAATGTTAAAGAGAGTACTTCAGGTTGAAATGAAAAGAGCTAGACAGTAAAGAAAAGCCACATGAAGACATAAAGATCTCTGGAAAAGATAAATGCCAACGGCAATTTAAAATCCAATAGTACTGTAATTTTGGTTTGTAACTTTACTTTTCACTTTCTACAGAGTTCAAAAGACAAATGCATTAAAACTATTATAAAGACATAATTTGTGATATCAACATAAAGGGGGGACAGACCAATACAGAAGTAGTTTTTGTATGCAACTAGAGTTAAGTTAATATGAATTCAGTAACTTTAGATGTTATATGTAATCCCCAGGTAACCACAAGGAAAAATATACACAAAAGGAAATGAGAAGGGAATCAAAACACACCACTATTAAAAAAAATCAAACAACACAAGAGAGCAGTAATGGAATAAATGTGGGACAAAAAAGCTGTAAGATATAAAAATAGTGAAATGGCAAAAATCTTTCCTTATCAGTAATTACTTTAAATGTAAATAGATCTCCCTAGGCAGAGATTGGCAAAGTAGATTAAAAGGAAATAATCCAACTATAAACTGTCTGTAAACAGAGACTCCCTTTAGGCCATGTGAGGTGGCTCACGCCTCTAATTCCAAGCGGATCGCTTAAGCTCAGGAATTCAAGACCAGTCTGGGCAACATGGTGAAACCAAAAATACAAAAAACTTAGCCAGGCATGGTGCTGCACATCTGTGGAACCAGCTGAAGTGAGAGGATAGCTTGAATTTGGGACACCGAGGTTGCAGTGAGCTGAGATTGTGCCACTGCACTCCAGCTTGGGTGAAAGAGTGAGACTCCGTCTCAAGAAAAAAAGAAAAAAAAAGAAAAAGCAAAAGAGACTCGCTTTAAATTTAAAGACACAAACGGCCGGGCGCGGTGGCTCAAGCCTGTAATCCCAGCACTTTGGGAGGCCGAGACGGGCGGATCACGAGGCCAGGAGATCGAGAGACGATCCCGGCTAACACGGTGAAACCCCGTCTCTACTAAAAAATACAAAAAAACTAGGCCGGGCGCGGTGGCTCAAGCCTGTAATCCCAGCACTTTGGAAGGCCGAGACGGGCGGATCACGAGGTCGGGAGATCGAGACCATCCTGGTTAACACGGTGAAACCCCGTCTCTACTAAAAAAATACAAAAAACTAGCCGGGCGAGGTGGCGGGCGCCTGTAGTCCCAGCTACTCGGGAGGCTGAGGCAGGAGAATGGCGTGAACCCGGGAGGCGGAGCTTGCAGTGAGCTGAGATCCGGCCACTGCACTCCAGCCTGGGTGACAGAGCCAGCCTCCATCTCAAAAAAAAAAAAAAAAAAAAAAACTAGCCGGGCGAGGTGGCGGGCGCCTGTAGTCCCAGCTACTCGGGAGGCTGAGGCAGGAGAACGGCGTAAACCCGGGAGGCGGAGCTTGCAGTGAGCTGAGATCCGGCCACTGCACTCCAGCCTGGGTGACAGAGCAAGACTCCGTCTCAAAAAAAAAAAAAAAAAAAAAGACACAAACATATTGAAAGCAAAATGATGGAAAAAGCTCTTCCAAGCAAAAGAGAAGTGCAAGGTTGGCTATCAGACAAAACAGAATTTGAATTGAAAACTGTCATAAAAGACAAAAAGTACATTAAATAAGGCCAGGTACAGTGGCTTAAGCCTGTAATCCTAGCACTTTGGGAGGCTGGAGGCGGGTGGTTTGAGCTCAAGAGTTCAAGATCAGCCTGGGAAAGATGGTGAAACCCCTCTCTACACAAAAATACAAAAATTAGCCAGGTATCGCGGCTTGCACCTGTAGTCCCAGCTACTTGGGGGGCAGACGTGAGAGGATCGCTTGAGCCCAGGAGCAGAGGTTGCAGTGAGCCAAGATTGCACCACTGCACTCTAGCCTAGGTGACAGAATAAGACCCTGTCTCAAGGGAAAAAAAAAAAAAAAAAAAAAAGGGCTGGGCGCAGTAGCTCATGCCTGTAATCCCAGCACTTTGGGAGGCTGAGGAGGGCAGATCACAAGGTCAGGAGTTCAAGACCAGCCTGACCAACATGGTGAAAACCCGTCTATACTAAAAATACAAAAATTAGCTGGGCGTGGTGGCAGGCACCTATAGTCCCAGCTACTCGGGAGGCTGAGGCAGGAGACTTGCTTGAACCTGGGAGGTGGAGGTTGTTGCAGCGAGCCGAGATCACATCACTGCACTCCAGCCTGGGCGACAGAGACTCCGTCTCAAAAAAAAAAAAAAAGACATTAAATAATGATAGAAGGGTCAATTAACCAAGAAAATTTAAGATTTATAAACATCAGAGCCCCAAAATACATGAAGCAAACATTGACAACTGAAGTGACAAGGAGATTTGTATAACAATAGTTGCGGACTTCAATAAAGGATAGGATAGCCAGATACAGCATCAATAAGGAAATGGAGGCACTTAACAATGCTATAAACTAACTAGACCTAACAGACACACACAAAGTACTCTAGTCTCCGAGAGCAGAGCATATACTTTTCTCAAGTGCACGTGAGACATTCTCCAAAACAGACCACACCTTAGGCCACAAAACAAGTCTTAATAAATTTTTTTTTTAATCAGAGACAATGTTGCACTCTGTTTCTCAGGCTGGAATGCAGGGGTGCAATTAGCTCATTGCAGCATCA